AAACAACAACAACAACAAAAATAACATTGCACTGAAAAATTCCCATGAAAATCTTGTTCAGCTAACCACAAACCTTTCCTCTAATTCTAATTCTTAGGTCCCGAAAGCTTTCCTAAAAACTTTTCCCATCAAAATGTAGCCTACTAATTGCCCAGCAAAAGAAAAACACTGACGAAAGAAAAGCAAAAGAAGGGGTGAGGAAAGAAAAAGTCTAACCTGCTGTGTCACTTTTAAACCCAAAAACTATCTCAAAAATTTTGCTTCCTTCTCAAGCCTAGACTTCGGAAATTACAGCGGTTACTACTAACACGCGCCCCCAAAGGGTTTTTTCTTCGGTTCAAACCTGCGTTTTGGTGGACGTCAATCAACTGTTACCATGGTTTTTCACGCGTTGGCCTAGAGAAGATTTTCTCCGTTTCTTGAGCACTCGGAAGAATATTGACACCGCTTCATGTCAAGATTACGAGGAGAAAGAATTTGTTGAGTGTTTCTCGGAGGAAACTCGAATTATCAACATATTTACACACTGTAAGTTACAACCACATAAGCTTTCTCAATCGCTTGCAACTCCTCTGAGTTCTTGCTAGTTCTGGTTTCTATTCGATAACATGAAGAATGATAAGTAGTAAAATTCATTTTCAAAAACAGCCTCCATTCAGAGGAAACTTTTCCCCTTTTCGGTGTGATATCTTTTGTTTCTTTGAATTTATACTAGCTTGGCTTCTTGGCAATTCAGTCGTCCACAGGTCCTGTGTTTTCATACATCAAATAAATAAACAACCTGAAAACTGTTACGTAAACTATAGATAATGTTTTGGCTATTTCACTCAGCACGCAGAGACCTCGTTGTTTTAACAAAGAATGCAATAAAAAGCCGTCGTCGTTCGAAATTATTCGCCCTTCATTCAGCAATGAGAGAACCTTCTCTGTCAGAGCACATGGAAAACCATAGAAACAGTTGATTGGCATCCAAGAAAACTCAGGTTTAACCAGACAGAAAAAACCCTTCAAAGGCGCGTGTTGGTGGTAACCACTGTAATATTTTGCACCTGGATAAGTTTACAACCTGTCAATGGCTTTTTGACAAAGTTTTAGCTCATTAGAGCATCCAGAAAACTGCTCGACTAACATTGACTTGTTTTTCTGCAAAATCCCTGAAGAGAAAATTGACTTTTGAGCATAACACAACCTTTATCCGCAGTTTAAAAAAAGAGTCATTTGACAACCAACCTCAGGCCACAAAATGCCAAATCAGGAGCCAGATTTTTGATCAACCCAAATTTCTTGTACTAGGTCCTCAACTATGTACTTAGGAGCTGTGTTTGTGTCATGATTGGCTCTGTTAAGATGCCAAGATTGTTGACATGCTGATAAGGTTGAAGAAAAATTCAAAATGCATTCCGGGTAATTCACTGAGTCCAATGGTGGCCCAGAACAAAGACATCAGGGGTCAATATAATAAAACTTTTACAAGTGTAATTTGCAAGTGTAGCTACTGTGTTTAGACTAAAACAATGGCCACACTTGAAAGAGTTTTATCCTATTCACCCCGGTGCTGATTCGCAGACATTATTAACTGGGGTTAAATTAAGATTGCCACACAGGCTATAAAAATGCTCCTTCAACAATATGTTGGATCAATTAACCTGGGCTTCATACTAATCCACCAGGATAATGATTTATCCCATCTTTTCAACATCTACTGTAGGACCAGAAGTTTCACTTTCTGTCCTTTTCAAATGACAAACCACCGAGCCACTTAATATACCATTACTTGCGAATCCCTGAGCCACTTCTGTTTATAAATATGGCCCTGTATTCTGTAGTTGCTCTAAATTTAATTTCAACACGACATGTTAGAGGCATCAGGAGATCTTTTTCCGTGGCAGGGATCTGGTATCTGAGAATGTCACTTCTGGGAAATTTTTCAAACTCACACACATTCAACCGACGTTTAAAATATGCTTGGGAATTCGTCATTCACAATTTGGGCAAAAATGTGAACTATTTCCATGACGATAAAGCGTTAACAGTCTAGTTTTCCTCGCAGAAGATATTGATGATGAACCGTCCGACAGAATAGATACACAAAGAAACACTTACTGACCCAAAAGTACCTACATTTACAGGCGTGCCTAAATCCGTCAGCTTTTATAAACGCCGAAAAATCGACAGAAGTCAAGAAACCAACGCCACAAAGGAAAACAGTAGGTAATGTTTCCGGTATGAAAACAACGATGTTTGGCAAAATTCCAAGACCTAAAGTATTACGGTTTCGTAAAAATTTTCCACAATTTACTGACCAATTAGCCGCAGCTGCAAGTTCCTTTGCATTCCAACTTGATATCATCTTTCTTAAAACTTAAGTCTTCGTATGAAAACGAAAAATAACGATATTTTCCGCCCAGAAACTCACAAATTGTCTTCCACCGCATTCATCGCATCACGTCAGAAAGAAAATTGAGCTCGCGGAGTTGCATCATGGGTATCTTGGCTTGGAGGGTGTATCAATAGTTTTATCAATATGAAGGAGCCTAAGAAGGGAGCATGCGCAATTGTAGACACCGGCGTCCGCCATATTGATCGCCATATTGACTTTCCAGAGTTTTTACTTTGTACACTTCTCTCTTGTTCACCGGCATATTTCCCAGTGGTAAGTAACATGGATTTGTTTCAAATAAATGTTACAATGTCTACTAAGATAATAGACTACCCGAAATAGCTTTTCTTGTCAAGCATAAACCCAGAATTAGACAAGCACAGTTCACACGTACGGTTCCAACTGCACGAATTCCCGTTATTTTTAGCTTTAGAAATGGGCGATGTAACTTAATACAATCTGCTTATAACTTAAAGTCTGCGCAGATTGTATGTATTGTGAAATAATTGAAGAACAGATCATTAATTAAGGCTTGTAAGTTAACAGACGATTTGCTAATAAAGTGGACTGCTCACAGTTCCTTATTTTTTCGTAAGATCGTCAGGATCGAACCCTTAGCGGTAAGGACAACCATCTTGGTTTCATATGTACCAAGGAGGCAGGCGTTGGGGTTTAAAGTCGTAGGGGGAGGGAGGCAAGAAAAGTAGAGGGAGTGTCTTAATATCACTGCAGCTCGCGTTAATGGAGAGTGAGGCGTTTGATTGGTTATTACACAATAGATGTTAATTTGCATTGACAAGGGGTTTACCGTAGTTTGTTTGTTTAGTTGCCGACACTGAGAAGTCGTCGTTTCTATAAAACGCACACTTCATAATACCTGTTCGCCCAACTTAACTTTTGAGTCATTTTGGATCTTCACCACTTTGGGCCATCAAAACTGGGGAAGGAATTTATTTCTGATTGGCATGAAGTATTTTGGAGGAGGGGTGGCATAAAACCTGTTTGGCCATTTGAAACACCAATTATCGCTACTTTCCTCTCAGGTATTGTTTTCAAACCCAATGCTAGTGCAAATTTGCAAGGCACATTTCGTGCAAATACACAAAGGATTTTTGGTATTTTGAGGATGAATCACATAAGCAAACATGCTTTTGAAGTAGCCCGGTCAGAGGAATGTTGTAACACAGTTTCTGCCAAACAAATTGAAATTAATGCTTCAAAGACACAGAAAAGACGGCCCATGTTAGAGATGCCTGGCTTTTTATCTGGAGGGGTAACCATTTTAATCTGTGTTGAAGCGAGCATGCTTGCCGCTTTGATTAGGAAAATGATTCAACTGTGCATGTTTGCCAATTCTATCTGGAGGAATGTCCTAGTAACTGTATAAAATCACTGTCTCAAAAGGAGATGTTTGTGAACACCTGAAATTGATGCTAGATGTATCTGGCATGTTTTTCAACACCAGGGGAGTTTCTTAATCAATGAATGGTAAAAGGCGTGAAATTCCTGTCACACCCCCTAAACACAAGCTGCAGTGACGTTAGGATAGTCCCTCTATTTTTCTCGCTTCCCCCCCAACCTCTTATAGCTGTAAGTAATTTTGGCACTCATCCAAGATGGCTGCCCATAACCGAAAGCGCTCAATCTCGACAATCTCATAAAAAAATAGGGGACTGTGAACAGTCTACTCATACAGTCAAACCTGTATGTATTGAGTGGTCACCCTTCTGGAATGGCCAACTGACCGGTTAGTAAAAGTTGGCTGTTTAATACAGGTTTGACAAACCTAAGAGGTAATCAAGAAAATAAGATGAGGACAAAATTAAATGCCAAACACCCAACAAGTTGATCTCGAAGTGTTTCTACCTCTTCTTGTGCTAACAGAAAGGAAGTAAAAAACAACACTAAATTCCCAATGCAGTGTTGTTTCTATTACCTCTTAGAAAGTGATTGGTTAATAGAGGTGAAAACAATAAAAAATAACTCATTGGGACCTTGGAAAAAGTGACTGTGACCACTTGAGGGGGCTGCTTAATGCCGGTCAGTTTTACAGAAATCAAGGGCAATGATTTTTGGGTCTGTTGTAAGTGACCCATTAATAGAGAGTAACCGCTAAATGCTGGGTGGCTTTATGCATGTTTGACTGTAGAAAGTGAATTCAGACTGAAATAATTCTTGTTGCCCACAATTTTTTGATTGGACACTCAAAACAGCTGATTTAAGATAAAGTTGAATCCCAGTAACTCGAACCCTTTCCCTTAGAGAAACCAATTGCATTATCCACTGGATAGAGATTTATCGACTGCTGGGCTGTCATTAAGATGTGGGGGCTGGGGATTTCCCCTGGTTACCATGAATGTGGTCCCCAGCTACTTTCAAAGGAAAATAGGAGAAAAATAGAACAAAAAGAAATCCCTAGCTCTTTGATTCCCTGCTTACTTGTTGTATTTACCTGACAACTTGAAATCTTAGTGACAACCCTGCAGTGGATAGTATTATCCAGCTTTGGAACAACTGGGGCCTGGTGATAAAGCACTTTTTTGCTGATGAGTTCACCCTCACAGTTTTACCGACAATTTCCTTAATACTTTATGGCATTTTAGAAAGATAAAGAAAAACCATGGCAGAAGAAGGAGAAATTACAGAAGTCGTCTTGAAGACTGCTCCATTTGATGCAAGGTTTCCATACACTAACCAGACAAAGAATTGTTGGCAGAACTTTGTAGACTTCCATCGTTGTTCTAAAAAGCTTGGAGAGGAGCACGACAGTTGTTTATATTTCAAGAGAGCTTTTACATCTCTGTGCCCTAAGTTATGGGTAAGTGGTATTGTAACTGCCCCGGTACAAGTCAGGTTTTGAAATTATGATTTAGGGTTGTTTAATTAGTTACAATGATGCTTCTTTGTAATCAAGCACAGGCCCTGTTTTAAGTAGTCACCTCACCTCACCCCCCATCTTCGCACTTTGTTACACATAAGACCTCCACACTTCTCTGCTGACTGCTATAACTGACTTTCTTTGCACCCTGTGCATGTAGATTTAAGACTGGCATACACTCTGTTTACACTTCTTTTAAGGCCCAGGAGTGACCAACATCAATTTTCTCCAGAACAATAATCAATACATAAACAACAGAAAAGGTCATGAGAATTAATTAATTGACCACCAAGGGGAAAGTGCCTTGATCTGTTAATAAATTCTCTCAACTGATTTTTCAAGGAAACATATGGAAGTCAGTCTGGAGAATTTTTATGTGAATATTGGTGCTTAAAGGGTTAAACAAATGCAAAATATTGATATGGATTTGGTCTTTTATAGGTTGAGAACTGGTCTGAACAAGTAGAAAGTGGCACATTCCCTGGTCGCATTTAACAATTTAATAGAACATGACTCTTGCTTTTCTTCTTGGGGAACTGTGATATCCTTTGATAATGTTTAAACAAACTTTCTCCGTTGGATTTATTTGTTCTTTGGCCAAACGCTGGAGAAAGCGATATATTTTGTCATAAGTTACTTGTTAAATGTAAAAAATTAAAAAGGCTGATTGCAAGTGATTTCAAAACTGGTTTTGTGTATTTTTTTTTGTTTTTTTTGTTTATTTATTTATTTATTTGGAGTGCTATCAAGTGTCTTAGCATCTTCGGGACCCAGGGGAAATCAGTCGGGTCGGGAGAAAAGGTGTGATGAAAGTTTTTAAGCACACTGCTGCATGGGTGGAAGACCCCCTGGGTACCAACTCCCACCAGACCATTTCCAAAGGGTCAAGCAAATGCTGACTCCTGATTGGGCACAAAAAAATGAAACGAACAACGCACGCAATGGCTATTGTCTCGCCATACTTGTCCAGTTTGTTCACCAAGGTTGTGCGAGTGCATGCATGGTAAACTTTCATTTTGATGATTATAAACCCTGTCCATTTCAAAATGCTGTTAAAAAACCACAAACTAAAACATGTAAATGTATGTATAGTTATTTCAAAGACACTTTTCCAAAATACCAGCTTGGGCTTACAACACGCATTTAAGCCTGAATCAATCACACCTTCGTAAATATCATTTCAATACCTTGTGATCGGTCAAAGACAGAATTTTCTCGGTTTAAATTGGAATAATCCTGCTGGTAGCATCCAAAACGTTTTCACAAATAATCGGTAGTTCTTTTCTTTTCTGGCTAGGAAAGTAGGAAATGAAAGTTTCCCTTGCACACACAGCCTTGATGAATGAACCAGACCAGTATGGCAAGACAATAGCCATCATGTACGAACAAATGAAAAAAACTCAGGAGATGCTGTTCTCCGATTAGGCACAGTAATACAAAGTATTTTTTGTGCCCAATCAGATGCCATTTTAAAAAGGGTCTGGTGAGAGTCAGTACCCAGGGGCTCTTCCACCCATGCTTTTTGTCACACTTTTTCTCCCGACCCGACTGACTGACTCTGGGTCTCCAAGGATGATGTCTTGTTTTACTTTATATATTTATACTGGTCAATCTTGTTTAATATCCTGGAGTGGAAGATGCAGAAGCTTTATTTTCATTCTTTCTTTTCATTTCCATTCTTGATTTTTCTTAAATTCACTCTTTTTTTCCATGTAATTACCCCTTTTTAACATAACGTAGACTTGCATGCAGATTTTGTGAAGCATTGCATTTTATCATAATCAGGAATGGGTTTATTGGACTTTAGCAAATTATTGTTGTTGAAATTCAACTGCAGGTAACCCTAACCAAGAACCCCACCTCATTCTTCCCATTGGATCTATTTGGTATTGTTAAAAATAGGTACTGGAAGGAGTGCATGTGTTAAAATTATCGGTAATCAGGATACCTGGCTCGCCCATTTTCCTGGTAGGGGTTTGGTAACTTTTTCCATAAGTATGTAGTCCCAATGGTGGAATTGGCGGCAGTGACCAAGGTCCCTGAACCCCTTACTTTCAATAAGGTGGCATCAGACAGCTGGTAGCTGGCTGTTATTGATACACCTTTCATTACCCGCAGGCAAAGAAGACGAAAAAGGATCATCTCCTTTCGGACTCGAAAATGGCCTTTTTAAAGATTTTTTCCGATGCTATTAGTTGACTTACTATTCATTTATGGTAAGATTCTGGTTTAATTTACATTCGGCTTACCGAGACCGATTGCAGACCTACAATAATATATAAGTGCACTCAATAGCATAGTGATCACGCGTCTATGGCATTGGCAACTATATCCACAAAAGCCAATAATGCCGAAGGATTATATTCCTATGAAGCTTTTATCAGAGTATTATGCAACAAGAGTTTATTGAGATTGAAAGCTAATGAGTTATTATCCTTGCCTCTTTTTTCTCTTCCCTTGAAGGCAGAAAAGTGATACTCTGGCAGGGAAACAAAATATAAAGTTGACATTCACTGACACAAGCGTGAGAGGTGCTTTTAGTTTCTCTTCTGTCTGTCAAATAGTCTGCGAGCAGTCTTTCTTTTTCTTTAGATTTAGTGAGGGGAATTGCACGCGCGCGAGCGGCGAGCCTCGAGATGCGAGAAACGAGGGCGCGAGGTTATTTGCGTGTCTCGCGCGTTTTGCTTGACGGACCAAGAAAAAAGAGAGACTGCTAGTAGTCTATGTGTCAAATATGGTCTGTTGTTTTGTTGCTTCACTGTCTAATAGATTCATACTTCCATCACCGACATGAGAGATGCAAAGGTGGGTGCACCCCTCTACTCACGGCAAGTAGTTTTATGCACATTACAGCTATTATGTATCCTAAGTCAAGCCGTCTCCACTATCGTGGGAACAATATGTGTGGTTGTCCTCCGGGGGAGCGCAGGCCTTGCTTGCTCGGAGGCCCGTGGCATTAGTGATCCTCTTCTATCGTATGCCCCTGAAGAGGAGCCCTTCCGCTCCGAATTAGCAGTTAAAGTGGACCTTCGGGATGAAAATCCCGGGGCTTCAAGAAGGTTTTTACTTCCCAACATCGATAACGGAGTGATGGAAGTACGTTTTCCCATCCCTGCGGGCATCCCCGAGAACATCGTCGACATCCTTCGACTGTCGCGGAAATTCATGTAACTACCGCGTCGTCCCATATCGGGCGCCCCCGGAAAAGCCGAAGATTTTCGACGGCCCGATCCACGAGGTCGGATCAGGTCTAAAAAGTTCGTGTCAGTGTCGTCGTCTCCGACTGATGATGCATTGTCCCTGAGATGTGCTAACGGATCGGGCCAATACCCACTTGGTGGCAGTATTATTGGGTCAAAACTCTCTCTGTATGACTCAGAATGTTGAATACCATACAGGCCCAAAAGACGACACATCTCAGATTTGGCCGTGGGCGACGGGCCTCTCTTATTTTTGTCCATCTGCTCGCCTTTTCTCCTGCTTAAAGACACATTCGTAACTGTCTTTGGAGAGAGACTTCTTGGAGAATGTGATCCTTCTTTTTTCGTTTCTTTCTTGCATTCTTTTGGGATCACCGAGTCTTGATTTTGTATTGACGTGTTCTTTGCTTCACTCGTCCCTTTGCTGCTTTTCTCGCCGACCAATGAGCCTCGTCTTTGTCTCGGAGAAGACACCGACTCATTAGCACTTTCTTGTGCAAGATTACCTTGAACATTCTTATTTGTCGCTTCTGCCCCAGGTCGCACGCTTTGATCTTCATCATGTGGTTCATTTTCAACGTTTTGAACAATGATTTGCGGAGAAGGGCTTCTTCGTGCCGCGATCAATTCCGATAAGTTGGTTAATGATCGCTTTTCAGCCCATTCCTGTGTGTTAAGAAAAGTCTGCGGGTCTCGAATTGTCAATGAGGCTTTTCCTTCCGTAATGAGGACTTGTGCGCAGGAATCGTGCCCTCGCTTTGTTGCTTCAAGAATCGGAGTCATACCTTGTGTGTTCTTTTTATCAATATCCAATCCAAATCTTTTTAACGCCGTAATAAGCCGTTTCACAGTGTTCACTTGGCCACTGGCTGCGGCGTAGAATAGTGCTGTATTGCCATACTTGTCTGCCCTGTTTAAATCAAGATCCAAAATTGAAACGTCCAAAATTTTACGCACGATTTCCTCTTGTCCGCGAATACAAGCCCACATCAATGCTGTTTTCCCTTCTCGATCAACAACGTTCACACGCGCTCCGTGTTCGAGGAGAACCTTGATGATTTTGTAGCGCGTGCGTTGCATCTTGTCTGGAAGAAAAATCGCTTTCATGAGAGCTGTCTGTTTGTTATCGTCTGTCTTGTTCACATCCTCGGTTCCCGTTTCGAGTAGGAACTTGACTTGGTAAATTCTACCCCTTTTTACGGCGTCTAGTAACATGGCGAAATCACTTCTTCTCCGGCAGTTTCTTACTACTATAGAAACCGTTAGCAAAACAACTTAATACAACAAATATTGATCATATTCATTTTAGCATTAGGGCTAATCTCGCTTAGTGCCCCTCTGAGGATTACATCTATTGTAATAAATCTTAATAAGATTCAATAAGAAATCACTTACGTAGCAAGGTAACAAAAGCGACGCTTTTAAAGTAGGTGCACTATAGTCAAACCGTTCGATACAATTCAAAGTCGTTTCGATACGAACTTAAGCAGTGAAACTGCACAGCAATTTCGATAAAAGAAATTAACTAAGTATAGTTTGCGCGTGAATAAGAAAAACGTTTGGGGTGAATATTCTTCGTTCTTTAAGTCAAGTACTTGAAACTATCTACACTAGACTGAATAAACTTATATCGAAACGACTAGTATCGACACGAGTAGTATCGAAACGATCGAAAACCCACTCCAGGCTTCTAAAGACCAATTAGCAAGCGGTAACCGAGTTTCTCTTAGAACCATTACGCTAAGGTACTTTCTATTGTTCGAGAACAAAAGCTTTCTGTTATCCAAGCAGTAATATAGGGTTAACACGCATATGTATTGAAACAATGAAAGGAATAAATTTTAAGGCAGTGAAGGATAACGAGATTAGAAATATCAACAAATACTGTTAGCACAGTGAAAGTAAACAACTTTCTTTTGAAAGTTGCTGCTTAACAGCTGACGTAGAGGTCTCTGGGTTTTAAATTCACTGACCGACGCACGCTATATACGTGAAACAAATTAAAAACACTTTCCAATTATTTCTATGAATATTGCTGTTCTGTTGTGCTACCACTGCCATTACAATGAGCTTTGAACTTGCGGTCATTTGCGTTCCGGATTTTCGACCGACTGAAAAAAATGGTAATTTAGGTTTCTGGGAAACTGCCCACCTACCCCTCCCCTAACCCAACATTCTGCCCTACGTGAGAAGTAAGTGTTAATGTTGACTTAGAGGAGGGGTAGGTGGGCAGTTTTCCAGAGACCTAAATTGATCCGAAAAAATTTGGCCGGACACTTTGTTCACACTGTATTGTTCAATGTTTCTGCTCTGTTCACACGAGACTTTGAATGGCTAGGCGTCTAAAGTTTCGTGCACACGAATTTTTTTATTATACACAAATTTTAAACAGGTTTGTAAACCTCCATCCTTTATCGTTCAACTTAGGCCCATAGCCAGAATTTTTGGTGGAGGGCTGCGAATGTCTGAGAGGCTGAAGCCGCTGGTTGCTATAAGGGTCGACCAAAGTGAGAGGTGCGTGCGCAATCGTCGCGCCCAAGCCCCTCGTCCTTACGGTCATGTACTCTACAACAATTGGGACATGCGATGTAGGTCTAATTGTCTAATCTGTGAACTGTGCGTTGTAAATCATTTCACGTGACAATTGAAGGAAATATCAAGAAAAACGTGCTCTTACAAAAGAATGTCTTAAATCATAACACACTTCTGTTTTGACAGGCCTGTTGTTCTATAGCAGAACAAGCCTGCTAGAGCCCTGCTTGAACCAGGAACCCAGATTGAACGCAGTTGTTATTCAGTTGATTTTGTCAGAAGGAGTCATGGGACAGAGCAAACGAAAAATAGCTCCCCTTGGGCTATATAGCGTCCCCTTTTCTTAGAGTACAAGTAGTCCCTCATTTTCCATCAGGGACAGTAAATCGAACAATACGCAAGCGCTCGTGAAAATCACCCCATGCGTGAAAGGCGATCCTTTTCTCTTTCCCTGCCGCGTCTGACCTTTCTCGCGTGGGGTGATTTTCACGCGCGCTCGCGTTTCGCTCGATCTACCATCCCTGAGGGAAAATGAGGGACTACTCGTAGTCTACCTTTTCTCGTCACGAAACAAGTCTCCGTTCTATCACGCTCCGTGAACGGACCAAACAAAGTTTCTCCCGTTAATGGACCACGAAATTTTGTCAGCAATGTACAGCTTTGTTCTCTTGTTGTGCGCATACCTCAGACTCAATTGTGTAAACGTGCCATAAATACTTAGATGATTTCCGCATATTCTTTGTGCTCTAGATGAAATATGCTTCAATGTGTTAAGTGAAAACAACTTAGTTCCTGTCTTTAAACAGTAATTCACAGTAGACTAATAGATATTTTGGCTTAGTTTACCCATCTCAAGTGCGCGTTCAAGTTCTAAACGTGACGGTGATTGTATAAACATTTGCTTTTTGCCTGATAATCGAATGCAGTGTGGGTCGTTGAAGCTTGACCCGACAATATGTAATTAAACCCCATATCAACCATTGGCGTTCTTTTCAAAACAAAAGAGTGAAAAACAATAGGAAAGTATATTAAGAACTGAATATTTAATAAAAGAAAAGTGAACGAGTAATTACAGCGCTATGAGACAGTTCGAAACAATAAACAAATATCACCCGGTGAGTTGTTCTCGAAATCATCGATACTTATGGTTGAAGATTAAATAACTGTAAATATTTTGACGAAAAGTCGTATTGCCGCTGCGTGTGAAAAGAACGGAGACTTATGCTAGCTTCTTCGTTGACCGTCGGTCACCAAAGGCAACGGGTGCTGCCAAGTCTTCATCAAAAAGTAGCTTGGAATGATACTAAGAGCAAAGAGAAAAGAAGTTCTGTCGGAAGACCGAGGATACTTTTAGAAGCAGTCACCCAAGGCAGACTTCGGCAGATGCGCCTTTTACTAGACGCAGGTGTCAACGTAAACTGCAAAGATTTGGACGATGGACAGACAGCTTTGATCAGAGCCATGTTTTTGGACAACACGAAACTTCGGCGAAGGACTGCCAAGATGTTGTTGAGTTACGGTGCAAAAGTGAAGCTGCTGGACAAGTTCGGACGGACCGCTCTGTCATGGGCTTGTATATTTGGACATGAAGATATGGTCAAGCTTTTTTTCAGCCATCCTGAAGTCGATCTTGCCTTCGGCAGCGTCGATATGGATGGCAACACGAACTTGATGTTAGCGTGCATGTCCGGTAATGTAAACATTGTTAAAACGATCTCGAAGGTCTTTAGGAGAAACAGATTGGACGTGAACAGAGTGAACAACAGAGGAAAGAGTGCGTTGGCTATAGCGCATGAGAAAGAGTTTGCGGATTGTGTAGAAGTTTTGTTAAATGTGGGGCACGTAACTTCTCGCGCCTTGGAAACGTACTTTCTGCGTGACGCCTATAGTGCTGGAATAGGACAAAAGAAAAACCAGCCACACGCAGGACTAAAGCAGACTTCTTGCAATCTACCTAAACTATTTGGCCTGTACACAGAACAGCTTACAAATTCGTATCCAAGAAAGTACAGGTCTGAAAGAGGAGTTAATTCTTCCGCTTTTTAACTTGCGTCTGTCTGCCGAAATGGCAGACGACAAACAACTCCAATTTAAAGTTATTTCGATTGGGCTTCAGTTTGGCAAAATTAAAAAGCAAACAAACCACTTTAGTTTAAATTGCTTACATTCTACGATACGATAGAAAACCCGCGACTAAGAACCTGCATTTTTCCAAGTTAGCCTAAACAGGTTCTTACATAAATGGTAACTAGCATAAACTGATTTAGGCTGTGAGAAGACACCTTACTATATCTCCAAAGAGGATTCTGAAGGTTGACTTACCTTATTGCCAAAGTGTACAGAGTTTTTTTTGTAGATTTTACAAAATAAGAATCTGTTTCGAATTTCAAGCCAAGCAGGTTCCTGTATCGAGGGGACCTAACTAGCAAATTTTAGCCGAACTGGTTCTTAAAAACCAGGTTCTTAGTCGCGGGCTTTTACTGTATTTATAAACTTGAAGTTAATGCTGTATCGTACACAGATATAGGCATGATTAAAAGCCGTTCGTGCGCTTTTAAACAGAACGCGTCCAGGATTGATTAATAAAAGTATCTTGTAGTAGTTTTAGTCATGGTCTCAGAAAAGTATGACATTAAAATTATTCGCAGTTTGCAGTAAGTAGAAACTCAGTAACGGTAGATCAATGAGGTATAAATGATAAATACATTTTTAAAAGTTGGAATATGCGGTCGACTCATTAGTGTTAAGGTTGATTTTCACTGACGCGTTTTTGGCTACACACATTAACCCACGTAAATTTTAATCACGTAAATGAAATAGAGGTAGGATAAAAATGAAGTGCTGAGCTTAAACGAGAAGTTGAGCGAGGTTCAAGTTTTGCGTTTACGAGCGACCTTCCATGCATTGCCTCTTTTTTTTATTTGCGAACGTAATTTTTCCGCACGTACGCACGTAAAAATTACGCTTACGCAACAGTGGACATCAACCCTTAGGGCCTGCTTTCATGGAGGTGGGGGACCCCAGGTGAGGTAGGCGAGGTAACCCGCTTAGGTGCGGTAACCCGCCTGTCCATATATTCTCACATATGGTGACCCCACCTACCCTGTAAACGTGATCAAATTAAAATGAGAGATTATGTGGGCAGGCGAGTTACCTCACCTAAGCGGGTTACCTCACCAACCTGTGGTACCCCACCTCCATGTAAACAGGTTCTTGAACAGCCAACGTTCCCTAAAGAGGCAAGACTTAACGTGAAGAACACGGTCCAAGTATTTGCTGTGCTTTTTGGCGTAAAAATTATTTTCTAACATCGCCATTGGTGGCTAACAAAGCGAGCCATAGACCGTTTTTACGCATGCAGAGTTTAGAGCATCACAAGCGTTAAACTCGGAAAGCTTATCACTGTGATCCTTATAAAAAAAAGGACGGTCCAGGAGGGAAACATGAATATGAACCAAAAAATAAGATGTTGGTGAGGCGGAAAATAGGCTACTGTTTTATTTACTATTGATTTGCATTACAGTAGTGCCTTGAAATGCACTAAAAAATCACCTCACGTTCTAGAAATCCACTGGTCGTATCTTCATCTCAGCTCTTTTAGCCGAGTAGCTGCCACCTTTCCACGCGCGCCAGTTAACACCATCATGATACGTTGAGTGCTGTCCGTGATAGTAGAAACCATTAAGACTGGCGGTCACACAGTTGTTAAACCACCATCCTCCTTTGTAGCTCACGGCACAGTTGCCTGAGTTTTTATCATTGTCGCGATCTTTGGTTGTAAACGGGGATCCAGCGTGATAACTCAACGAATCTCCAGCAGTTCCTGAAAAAATCTTTGCATTAACGCCGTTCTCGAATAAACGCCGCACCCAATATGGGGGCCCCCTACGGACTCAGCAAATTACCGGAAGTGCGTTTCCAACATGTTTTCAACCTGATTGGCAAATCGACAATGGCTTTCTTAACAGGCCAATCATGATGCTTACTCAAATCCTGATACACCGTTGGGGGCCCAGAGCAAGAATTTCGGCGCTGTTTCGCAGATGTCTATCGCGCAGGCTAATCAGAAAATGCGGCGTTTATTCGAGAATAACGAAAACTCGTAATAGCCTTGTAATCTACTCGTCAAAAGAGAATAAGCTCTTTCTCTCTTGACACCATTCCGTTCAGCACTCGTCAACAACAAGTCGACTAGAGAAGGGCGGAAGATATCATTGCGTGGGACCATGAGGAAGATGAAAACGGGAGACACTCCCTCCCCGCCTCAGTAGCCATAAAGCTCTCAGAAAGCACTATTTTCATTGGCCTTTGAAAACACATCTCTTATTGTTGATTCTCTCTTAAGCCTGGTTTTCACTAGCACATACGCACAAGCACACGTGTAAGCAAGTGAAAACTGGGTCGTCATAAGCATAAGCACAAGAAAAACGCAGGGACAAGTTCGTTCTTCTTGTGCTTATGGTTATGCTTATGTCGTATTTTGACTAGTGAAAACTGGGTCGACATAAGTACAAGCATAAGAACTAGGCCGTGGACCAATCATAGGTCACTTTGACCCAGACCTCATGCGAACATTTCAAAAGCAATATGGCGGATGCTTCGTCCGCCATCTTGTCTACCATCGGGTTGAGGAGAGCTGGTATCGAGAATTGAGTCAAATATGCCATTCTGCGCGTGCGTATGTCCTTATGCTAATGCACTAGTGAAAACGAGGCTTTTGAGGGGGTTCATATGTCCCTGTCTGAATTTTTAAGACCATAGTTCGAACAATCTTGAAAAGGTCTTGAATTTTACTAGTCGTCTTGAAAAGTCCTTGAATTTGGTTTAGGTCCTTAAAAGGTGCTTGATTCTTTGTTAGGTCTTCAACAGTCACTGAAATTCACAATCTTTTCTACGCCAGACACCTTTTTCTGTAAAATTAGATTATTTTGCCGAGGAAAATTTGGCTCAACCTCGGTCTAAGAACCTGTAAAACTCACCGGTAAAGTAAAAACATTTTTACTTTAGGAGACTGCGGATGGCGCTTTAGGGAAATCCTTACGTCTCCTTTCCCACCCTCGTCTCCAGGGCATTTCCCTTTAAAATGGGATGTACGCCTCTCTCATTTTTCAAACTGAATGGAAAAGCCCTGAGGACGAGGTTGGATACCCAGATAAGCTACGGTACAACGGACAAGAAAAACGAGCAGCTTGTTTCGAAACGTTGTTGCAAACTGAGTTGAAAAAAGCGATGTTGCGCGTTTTACCACCCATCTTCAAACCTATCTTGCAGCAAATCAGGTTGCGCTAAGACTAATCTTTGATTGGATAAAATTACGAGCTGGTGACATCATACACGAGAGTGGCTTCACTTGCTGCAAAACAAGTTTGCCTTGGGCTAGTAAAATGAGCATCATGTACGAAGAAAACGGCTCAGTGTAGAACTACCCTCTACTTCCTGCAACAACTTTCTGCAAACTTCAGCAACCTGATTTTTTGCAAGACAGGTTTGAAAGTGGGTAGTAAAACGAGCAACATTGCTTCTGTTACAACTTGTTTTGCAGCAATTTTGCAAAATAAGCTGCATATTTATGTGCCCCGTTTTACCGTACTGACTCTTTTTTTCCGTTTGGTGACGTTCACTATAATTTATCATCATCAACTCACCGTAATAACTTCCAAGGCTCATTTTGTACAAAGCTTTCTCACTTGCCACGCCAAAGGAATCATATTCAGCGTAAGCAGTAATTCCTTTCGTGTCTTCGAGCTCCACTCGAAGTCGGCTTTTTGTTTTTGTCAATCGGTTCATCTTATCGAGTCCGAGCCAAAACTCGCCATTCAAGCTACCAAATCCGCGCTTGTAGTCATTCCATCCTCGCTGAAAATCAACTGAACCGTCCAATCTTTTTTGGATCACGGTCCAACCTCCTCCAGCGGCTTTTTGATCACAGAAAACATCAAAGGCGCCTGAACCATCAGGGTCAATTATGTAAACTCCGCTGTTTTTTTGGCCAGATTTGTACAGCTCAGCACAGTTCTTCTTAACTATAATTATAATTTTAAGAAATCACATAATTTCATTTCTCTGTTAAAAAAGGTAAACCATAGAATCAGGGTATATGATAGCGGGATTTTTGCTTCAAGCCTGATATATCAGTGTAAAACGTCGCCATATCTTCCAAAAAAGGTACCTTAAAACCCTGAAGACAGTCTCATGCTGACCGGGTTGGCTCACGGTTTGCGCAGGTTAATTAATTTGGACTAGAGTGATTGCACTATATCCTGACCAAAAGATTGAGACTGAAAAAGCATGTTTAAACAGTGTAAAAATATGCTTTGCCAATTACGGTGTGTGTTATGGCTACCTTGTTCCTATTTCACCTACCTGATTTAGAGTTATTTCCAGCCAACGAATCCACCCTCTGCTGTATGTCCGCCAGCTGGGTCCGTATTTTAAGAAGCTGAGCTAGGATCTCCTTGTCTGGCGCTGGGCAGTAGTTGTTGACGTGAACATTACCGCACCCTGTCGACGAACTTCCCGCGTTCGGTGTTTTGTTGGGGACGTTTTGAGAGGTCGCAACAGTGCACAGTGCTGCCGGTGTTAGTAAGCTACAGAAAAATAATAATGCCCTGGCGAAATCCATTTGCGACTGTGGAATGGGTCAGTGAAGTGTTTGGATGCGTTTCGTGTAAGCGCTCCACTTAAAGGCTACAAATTGTAAGACGATGTTAATTTTCAAGTAGTTAAGGGGGGGGGGGGGGGGGGGAAAACCCCCAGGGTGTTTTGGGGGGTGGCGGAAGGGCGAGGGGTGGGCGGGGTGGAAAAACAAAAAAAAAAAAAAAAACGCCCGGCGGAAAACCCTTGTGGGGGGTGGGTGGGGGTGGGGGGGTTTTTTGGGGTGTTTTGGGGGGGCCCCCTACTTAAAAGGAAAAAGAGTGAAAAAGTTTTTTTTTTTTAATGGGGGGGGGGGGGGGGGGGGGGGGGGTTCAAACCTCCAGACTCACTTACCTTACAATCCCGGCTCCCGCCCCTTTTTTCTTGGCTTCCTCTTTTTAGCTCTTTTTCGACTGCGAATATTAAGTACTATTGAGTTATTTCCAGCTATTTCTCAGACCTCACGCCCTTGTAGAAACCCTACGGTATACCTCCAGCTCTTTCCTCTCCTGCCTCCCGTACCCCTTCCGCTCCTTCCTATTCTCCCGGGTTCCCTTCCCCCCTGTCCTCCCAAACTAATTAATAGTTGAGGTTGTTTGCACACCTGGATATGACGAAAGACAATTTTAAGAAGATTTATCTTGCTTAAGAAAACAACACGATAAAGTAAGCATTTTAAGTGGTAGTAACCATTAACACACCTGGGAAAAGAGAGATTGAAAACATATGTGATGGAAAGTTTTCGTGCACGAAAACAACATGGTAAAGCGGCGTTATGTCTAGGCTCGATTTTCGCCGTTCTCTCTGGTCCGCACCGAGAAGAGGAAAAGGAGAGGAGCGTGGGATCATTTCCCATTTCGAGCCTACATCAACAAGTGAAAGATAAGACCTCAGACAAGGCAAACAAAGTAAAAGAATTAATAATAATAATTAATAGTTAAGTAATAATTAATAATATTTACAGAGGGAGCCCAACTCGCCTTTGCGGTTTTCAGTGGGGCCCTCAAATTAAGGCTCCTTCCTGAAGGAATTAGCGTGATAACCTCAGTATTGTGCACCCAGTGTCCATTTATACACCTGAGTGGTGAGAGACCCTGTATAAAAGCAAAGTTTCTTGTCTAAGAAAACAACGGATACCTCCCAGCATTCGGTTGTGTGTACACCCAAAATCAAACGCTATCTTAGCCACAAGAACCTCGGAGCTTAATGGCTTCAACAGAGACTTAAGACTGAGTTACTTTTATTCTTGGCTATCCGCCATTGCAACTGATGATTTCAAACGAGGGCGAAATGTTGTTGTAAACATCTGTTTACAATGCCACGAAAAGTGATACAGAAACCAATCCAATATGTAACGATCCACATTCAAGGCTTCAGTCCGTTACAGAAACCGTTACGAAATCACCGCTCTTATGTGCGATTTTCCTATCCGATATGGTTTTCGTGCCGGCCACGTCCGGTATAACATGACAAAGCATCATGACATAGCTTCGCATAAATTCTCGTCCCCAGTGCCCGTCGTCAGGAGTCCTGCGGTCGTTTCTTTTGGTCACGTGGTCTTGTTACAACTTTACGTCGAATGAAGGTCCCCAATAGGTTCTTCGGGATCCGGGATTTCCCTTATTTGAAGCTCGGGATTCGAGAAGAACCCTATTGGGGACCTTCTCGAATGGCTCTCGAGGCAAGAATGTATATAGGCTTATACTTTCATAGCCTCTTAAACCAAGCGTGTATACTGAGGCACGTTGGGAACCCATGGCCACCTGTCATTTCTTTATGTGAACCAATTAAGACCGGATCCATCAGGAAATTGAGTAATTTTAATTTTCATTGGACAAAAGGCATTGTGCCAGAACAATTTAACGCATAGTGCATTTTTTTAAACATTTTTCAAGGGCTAAAGATATAATTAGTCATTTGTAATAACACCAAAGATAATTTCTTATGGGAGCCCGAGAAAATAAAGGTCAAATTTCACAAAATGACATCTTATACATGAAATTTTCGGAACTTTACCTGTGTTTTCACAGTTCTTGTAAAATCTGACATTTATTTTCGCGGACTCCCATTAGAAATTTTTTTGGATGTTATTACAGGGAACTGATTACATCTATAGTACTTGAAAAATGTAAAAGAGAATGCAATATTCTTTAAATTACTCTGGTACAAGGTTTTTGTCCACTGAAAATTAAAATTACTCAATTTCCTTGTTGATTCAGTCTTGAATTTTGAGGCTTTTAAGCATGTTTAAGGCTTTTAGTTGCTTGGGGAAAGGGTAAACGCCATCCTGGTACAGATAACAATCTGACAACCCGCCGGGAATTATACAAGTATTTATTGTAGCCTGTGTCGCAGACACACAATTCGTTAAGACGATGCGTGGGCCGGCAGCAACGCAGGCTACCAAAATAACCTCAAATGTTTTTGAGACAGTTGTTTTAGACAATTCAAACCGTAAATATACCTTGGCTTAAAATTAAACACACAGAATTTCAAGGCCGAAAGTTGATGGGGCCACGCTCATTGGCACCAATTTCACTTCATTTTCCATGCATTGCATTGACTACACCTGCTCTGCGAAGCTAAACGGTTCTTCACTTACCATCAGCAGGCGTCATAAGATTCTTAATTACAGTTATTTCTGCCTGTGAGATGTCATAATAACCAACAAACGTTCGTTTTCTACTGTTGTATCATCTCTTCCAGTAGTCAGAGGCTTTACAGCCTAACGCTGATTTGCCTCTTTTGCTCAGAGCTTACTATGGCATGTCCCTTGATACTGTACTTTTTTCTCACTCTAACCGTATTGCCTGTTTGCAATCCGCTTACAAGCTATCACGTCGATGTGAATATTTGCGTTAAAAATAACGATACAGAGATGAGATATATAGTACAAGAAGCTACAGGACTTGTTCACCTCGAAAACGAAAATATTTCACTGAAAAACGGCGAAGGCTTAATTCAAGTAAATCTCAGAACGGTATCATATAACGAAGCGATCAGCAGAATTTTTACCCTGGATCAAGATCTCGTCTTCAACATAACGGTATCTTTGCGTTCGGCTATCTTTGTTCAAATTTCAAATCACGAGATTTTTTTGTCATCGTTAATGGAGGGATCTAACATTGTTACTGTGGGACTGTTTCAAACGAAAGCAAATCCGTTTAGTCAGGTAAGGTCACTTGCTTAAACGATTTTCTTTCAAGGTCGTTGAAAACTTCATTGTTCAGACACACGTACAAAATTACATATTATGGATTATATGCATCTCATTGTTAGCGTTACAAAACAGAGCAAAGGAAAGTTAAGTATGCCACTTCTGTTCAAGTTCTTTTTGCATTCCTGTGGCGATGTTTTACTGAATTTTTTTTTTCTTTAAATTTTTAGCTGTTTGTGAACTGATAAATGTTTTCTACTATAACTGATTTGGCATCTCCTCAGTTTTGCGCTTGCAACTAAAAATGTATAATCTAAACAAAAGTAGACTGGCTTTTTCCACCTTGTGAGACATAAAAATTTAAGTTTTTTAACAAACAAATATGAGCCAGTTGTATCGTATCACCTGAACTCCAAAAGAAATATTGCAAATTGTTATCCGAAAAATCATTTATTTCAGGGAAATTCCAGAACAGGTGGATAATTAAGGTTTTGGCATCTTTTCAGGGTCTTACTAAACAAATAGTAAATATTACGTTTCCTCCGGTCATGTCGTACGTAAATACGATTTTTGGCTATTGGCTTCTTTATATAACTAGCATTGTTTTCGAAAACGTCCTCAGCAAAAATACCAGCCATTTAACAGAAAAGAGACCAAAAGGGTACGTTTCTTACATCTGATAAGCCTGAAATCACCCTAAGAAATGAAATGGAAAGTAAAAATGGAGAGATGGAGAAGGCCAAGGTTGATAACACCCTCTTTGATGTGCGTAATTATTAATTCAGGTTATACTAAAGCTAAATCCAATAACTGCTATAATTATTAAAGCTTTATTATTTTAAAATTATACATCAGGAACGTCCTGTTAGCTTTACAAGAATAGCTTCTCCGTCAATGATTGACTACGCAAGTACTATAAAAGACGTCATGAAGAAAATGGGATGGCGCATACTCAGCTTGGTATTGTCCGCTGATTACGAAGGAACTGTATTCGCGGGCGAAATGATCAAGTATAAAAGGAAAGAAAAATGGAATATTTTGCACACAGTTTGGATACCTAGGTGCTGGGGAAATGGTACCGAACTCAAATCCATGTTAAAAGAAGTCCTTTCAAATGAAAGTGACGTAGTGATTGTCCACATGCGGGATTCCCGCAATGATGAGATATTCCAGTTGCTTGAAATGCTGGGCGTCAAAAATTCTCGACCCTCTTGGCTGCTGACGGACATTACTACCTTTGGGGTATCGATAGTGAATCTTCCTGCTGGATCTGTGAAAATATCTCCATGGACTACTCTTAACCGTGATTATATGGTGCATGCGCTGTGTGACGCTGTTAACCTGATTGCATTGTCGGCAGCAGCTGCAATAGAGACGTCTGGTAACAACGAGATAATTAATCACCAGTCGATAAAAAAGGACTCTAAGGCCCTGCAGCGTGCTTTTAAGCAGTAAGTTTTATGATGTGTTCAGTTTTCTTCACACCTTGTAGAGTTTCCTTCACACGCTTCGGTTTCTTATTCGCTCCAGAGCAGGGCGGATAAAGGTTGGGCGGTGAAACGAGCGCTCCGCTCTTCATTTAATGTGTGATGCGGAGTAGGACTGGCATGAGCGCTCTTTCCGCGCTTCCGGTGCGCTTGAAGGCCGGCGAAATTTTCCTTTTTGCAAACCGGAAATCCTATTTTCTTTCTGTAATTTCAGGCTACAATGTTAAACAGATAAATTCGTTTCATAACAATATCAATAAACAGTTTCATATGTTTGTGTCTGTACGTTTATAAGTCAAACTTGTTGGTCGTATAATGCCAAAATTTGAGTTTAATTTCTAAGTGTTGAATACCTCCTCCTTCCACTAAATATCACCTAATCGTCTTTCGCCGTTTCGTTTGCAAAAGCTTAACACTTCTTAACCTCAATTTTTACATATGTTAAAGGGGGATAAATTTTACATAACATAACAAAAAATTAGATTGATATATATTGATATAGTGGCGTTGTACTTCTTCAAACTTTGCTTCTCGGGTGCAACGCGCCATGGCGATTCGCGCAATGCGTTGCAAATCCGGCAAGCGCATGTAAACAAAATTTATTGAGGTTAGTTGTAAGGTTTTTTCTCCGTTTTTCTCTCTAACACAAAACACGGTAAACAATAAAAACTGAGGGGAAACTAATTTTGGAGTTTCGAAGAAACAGAAAGACGTATGAGATGTTTTTTTCAAAATTAAAAAGAAAGATGATGGTGATTGAAATTAGCATAATTTCACCTTGCACGAGCTGCACGCATTTATAAAATACACGTCATCTAGTTATGAAACACGATCTGCTGTCTTTTAGTTTTGCCATGGATGACATGGATGAGATTTTCCTTCGTGTTTAAGACAGTATTTAGTTGTTTTCGTTTTGGAATAACATCGACATTGGCGAGTAGCAGAACGAAAATATAATTCAGTGATAGAGTTATGGAAGTAATAAAAGAAACCCTTTGAAAGATATGTTTGTCTACTCCAACCAAACCTCCCGCAAAAAATAGCAACATTTGGCTCTCGGAGACAGCGTACCAGTACAAAGGAACGAGGAAGAAGTGCAAGAAAACAAATCAAGCCGCCATAATTCAGTGACAGCGGCAGTGTCTAATGTGCAAACCACATCATATCGCAAGTTTCGGAAGCCCTAACCGAAGTCGAAAACAAGCGACATTTCTAAGCAGAGCCCCAGTCCACTGCATCACACCTTTTTGCTTGGACGCGCTCGTTTCACCGCCCTACCTTTATCCGCCCTGGTGTCACCGTTGTCACTGTTGTCACACCTTTTACTGTTGTCACCGTTGTCACTGTTGTCACTGTTGTCACCGTTGTCACCGTTGTCACCATTGTCACTGTTGTCACTGTTGTCACAGTTGTCACCGTTGTCACTGTTACCACTGTTCTCACCGTTGTTACTGTTGTCACCATTGTCACAGATATCACTTTTGTCACTGTTGTCACTGTTGTCACTGTTATCACTGTTGTCACAGTTGTCACCGTTGTTACTGTTGTCACTGTTGTCACAGTTGTCACAGTTGTCACTGTTCTCACCATTGTCACAGTTCTCACTATTGTCACCGTTGTCACTGTTGTCATCGTTGTCACTGTTGTCACCGTTGTCACTGTCGTCACCATTGTCACAGTTCTCACTGTTGTCACTGTTGTCACCATTGTCACAGTTGTCACCGTTGTCACTGTTCTCACAGTTGTCACAGTTGTCACTATTGTCACTGTTGCCACCGTTGTCACTGTTGTCACTAATGTCACAAGTGTTAACCCTGTCACTGATGTCACTGTTGTCAATGTTGTCACAGTTGTTACCGCTGTCACAGTTGTCACTATTGTCACTATTGTTACTTTTACTTTTACTTTTACTTTATTAATCCGCAAAGGCGGTAACCATCGCGCGGATATAAAATAATAATTCCATACAAAAAAAAAAAAAAAAAAAAAAAAAAAAAAAAAAAAAAAAAAAGTTGTTTTTTTTTTTTTTCAGGAGAAAGAGGCATACGAGATCGGGAAGTGACGTGGGTTCCGACGTGTGCCCCTCCCACCCCCCCCCCCCTCAAATTAAAATCAACCGTGAAAATGTACTTATTTCATTTCTGTATTTTTATTTTATACTGTTCCCCCCCCCCCCCCCCCCCCCCCCAAAAAAAGTAGTTATCTCAGAATTAGAGTAGCTAAAAATTGTTACTTCAATTCCTCTAGGATGACAAGAAACACCTTTTTCCAGGGAAAAACCTCCATTTTCGAGAATCTTACTATGCGAAAAGGGCATTTCGCCACGATGGACATTTCACATCTAGAGCAAGATCTCCATGGTGTAAAACACTGGACCACTATTGGTCTCAGCACGTATTCAGAAATCGCTATAGCGCCCTTCAAGGCTCCAAATGGACAAATCCAGTTTCCACTCCTGGAACCTTATAGGCCCATTCTGCGAGTTCCTGTAGTTTTTAATCCTCCCTGGGTAATGGCCGCAGAGCGTATAGAGACATATGACAAGGAACTAAAGTGTATGGAAAGGGAACACATCTGTTACAACAAAACCGCATCAAGCAACAAAACCTTGTGCTGCTTCGGATTCTCTATAGAGTTATTAAAAATACTTCAGCGCGAACTGCAATTTGTTCCGGAAATTTACTTCGTTGCTGACGGATTCTATGGTATCTTTGATGAAAAGACAGGAAAGTGGAACGGAATTGTCCGGGAATTGGTTCTAGGTATGGGGGATCTGGCCCTTGGTTTGTCTTTGAGCGGAAAACGAGCCGAGTACATCGAATTTTCTTGGTCTTACTTACCCCTTGCTCTGAACGTAATTGTGGAGAAAAAGGATATTGGACCAGGTGAGATGAAGAAGACTTCGTTTTGTTTTCCTTGTTTACTGACACTTGAATAAACTTTTTAGAGAACCTACCGGAAATAGCCTGCGAGCAAGCTCTCCGAGGCGCTCTGATCTCGCGGTGGGGCGGGAAAAAGAAGGAGAATTTGCAACAACGTGTCTGCAATATGAATTTCACCTCCAGTTCCCCTGTGGCTCTAAACAAACATTGAAAAACACGTGCCATGGGTAATGAAGTCATTACTAATGCCATCTCCGCCAATCAGCATTTCGCATCGACTTTTTCGGTGCAGATATTCAAATTCCAGAGACGTAGTTGCAAGCTCTCCTTCCTTTTCCCGCCCCGCCGGCTAATCAGAGCGCCCCGGAGAACTTGCTCACAGGCTAACCAGAAATTGAGGCTATAACTGTGATGAAACCATTAATCTCTTTAATATGATGCTCTTTGAGTTGTACGTCTCCCAACATGTCGCCCAGTGTAAGACCATGTTAGGTAATCCAAGACAGTCTTGGATTCTAGATTCTCCGCTGTGGATTCCGAATTCCTTATCAGAGGAACTTGAATCCAGATTCCAATCGTTTGCGGGATTCCGGATTTCTTTAGTTGAATTCCGATTCCAAAGGCCACGATTCCGGATTCCACAAGCAAAACCTTCCTCGATTTCAGATTTCACAAGCAAGATTTGCCTGCATTTCGAAATTTTCAGGAATCTGGACACGATAGTAGGTAGGAGATTAACTTAATACTCAACTGGTGACTCAAACGCAACTATAAAGGTACGCATAGCAAAACGAGCACAACGCAAGTCACCTGTTCTATGACATCATAACATGTCACAGCAAAAAAAAAAAAAAATTGAACGCAAGGCTGGCAATACGGTAAAGGGCTGATTTATTTGAGGCCCATATTTCGGCAAAGAAAATCAGTTTTGTTTTAATCCCCACTTTAAGTGACGTCTGGCATTAGCATCTCTACGTTAGAGATCCCGCAAGAAAGAACCGGTCGGTTTTATTTACGCGTTGAGTGGACCTCTGCATTCAAGGGTTTTTACTATGTTACAGAAAGGCGCCACCCAAAGGATATAGCGTAATTAACTTATTGTAAAGCGCATTTGATCATGCTCCATGGAAAATTGCGCGATATAAGTTTAGTTGATTGTAATTGTAATTGTAATTGCATAGGAGGGGCCTCTCCCGTTTTCTAAAATAAAAGGCCAGCGAAAGAGGAAGACCCAAATTACAGCTTCCTCAACGAACATTGCCTAACTTATGTCAACTATTAGTAACTGATTATGTCCAATATATTTAATTCAAGGTGTTCATTGGTTTTCGTGGTTGAAGCCCTTCGATTTCCGGCTATGGTTAACTATTGGGGGCACCAATATGCTCATCTTGCTTGTTATTTGGTGGCTTGATAGAAAGAGTCCACGAGGACATTATCATTTTTTCAAGGAGAGTGACGAAGATGGTTTGACCTTGTTGGGTAGGTGCCAATCAGTTAACCTTCATTAATTCAAAATACGATTTGCTGCTTACAAACCTAAATGTTTAGCTAATGGGGTTGCATCGCCATTCCATATTGAACGAAAACGATCAAAGTGGTCGTCAAAAGGTTAAGTGCCAGATGGTATACCTCCAAGCAAGATTTTGCATGATTGTTTGGTAATATATTTCTCTTTTTGCTAGATTCCATGAGCTATGTATGGGGTGTGGCCTTTGGCAAAGAGATAGGAGCGGACAAAACGCCTCGCAGCTTAAGTGCGAGATTGGTGTCATCCGTGTTTGCATTCGTGGTATTGATTCTTGCCAACTCTTATTCTGCGAACTTGATGGCTTTCTTAGTACAGGACAACTTTTTGCTACCTATTGAAGGTATAAAAGACCCAAAGGTATGCAGTTTATTTAGTTAACATCTTGGATTTGTTAGTCACCAGGGCCGGGTTGTTCAAAGCTGGGTTAAGATAACCCAGGGTTAGTGCAAAATTTGAATTCAGATGTGAAAGCTTCAAAAGTAAATTTAGTTTCGTTCTTTTTGTCAACAAGTTGATGATCGCATGCTCTTACAAAAAAACCGAGACAATTATCTAAGAAAAGGCTTTTGAACTAAAGAAAAAGAAACCCGGGTTAAACTTAACCCTGGGGTAAGCGCTAATCGGCCTTCGAACAACTGGGCCCAGGTACTTTGAAAGACATCTTTAGTAGCCTGTTCCAGGCGGTCAGATAGTGGGAGCAACGTGAAGACAATTTGAGCAGGAAAAAGACATTGAATGGGGGGCGGAGAGTAGGTAGAGAAGGAACGTAAGTCCCTTCTCGCCCCTCTCCTCTTCCCTTGTTTCCTCCGCTTCCCATTTCGTTCCACCCTCCACTATTTGAGTACCTGCAACAGGCTACATTTTTAGGGTAACTGGCCTTGTATCCAATTTTGTTCCAGGACGTTCCTCCCAGATTCCATGGGAAAAGTCTGGAGACGTTTGCTCTGCACTAGCTGATCTTCCCAAACTCTGATATTCATGGTCTTAACTGAAAATTAATTGTTTCTGTAATTGAGGTTGTAAATCGGATCCTTGTTCCCTTTTGAACTTATCCTCCTCGCTCAGTCGTAAAAGATAGGCTGCCCTTGCCTAGTCCCTGTAGGGCGTTTTCCCAGGCCTTCTCGGTCAATTCACTTCGGTGAAGTATCCGAGGCGAACTCACTTCCTCTCTCGGACCACATCCGAAACGAATTGGCTGCGCAAAATAATGAGGCCTGGGGACTAGGCAAAGGCTGCCCCCCTCGTCTCCTAATTTGGTAGTGTCTGGATATTATCTGAATATCTTCTTCTTGTAAAGGTGTAGTTAATACCTCCAACGCTTTGGGCTGGCTGAAATCAGAGATTAGTTAAGGTAAAAATTGACTGTCAGAAAAAATGTAGCCTGAACTCGAGACATCAAGCCAAAATACGGTAGGAAGGCTGAAATTTGGCCCTAAAATGTTTCATTATTTTTAGGCAGTAGTCCGGCTTTTTCTTCTTTGCATATATGCTGAAATCTTCTGTCATTTTCTCCAGTTCTACCAAAACACATGAGCTACCGTAACTTCTGCTGTCCTTGTTTCTTTTGATAGACTATCTCTACAAATGACGTCAATTGTACTGATATAAGTAGTACAGGGAGCACCCGTTACTCCGTGTTTTTTGGGGTGAATCTCGTTGACTTATGGGGGAATATATTGACGCCGATGACGTCATAACCTTTAGTCTTTATCTTATGAATAAAGTGTAGAGGAATTTCATAACATTATTTTCTAACCTTGACCGGTTTAACCTGCTTATCATGTTCTAGTTTTATTTAACTGGGACGACAGATTTTCTAGTAATTTTTAGGTCGATGGATGTCTTGGCTTTTATAATGTCATGACGCCATCAACGTTAATGTCCTCCTCTACAAGTTAATAAGATTCCCGCACAAAACAAAGGAGTAACCGGTGTGCCCTAGACTACTGATATTGGCAAACGCCTTTCAAATTTGGTCAAAGGTTGCTGGTTGAGAAGAACTAACCGGGAGATATATAATGTTGTACGTTAATTGCCTTTCAGCTAAGGGACCCTTCTCTTCATCCGCCAAATGGATTCCAAATTGGTATTCTGCAAGGTTCCTTTACTGAAATGTATTTTAGGATTAACATTCACCACGAATTTCGCCAACTTTATAACAACAGCCTAAAAGTAAAAACATTTGATGAAGGGATAGACAAACTTAACAAAGGGTAAGTTAGTCTCTTTACAGTATCAAGCAATCAGCTAATTTGGTACCCATATGCCCAAGGGAAAGAGAGTGTTATGAGGAAATTTAGGACCAAATAGTTGCATAGTAGAATAAAAGGATTCGGCTCTGATCAACTGAGACAGCACAATAAGGAGCTTAAGCAACGAGGTCGGCGACGGCCACGAAAACGCCACTTAAAAAGTGAATTCGCTTTATCGCGCTTATTTCATCTCGTTTAATTCGTCAGATGTGGTCAAATTTTGGAATTGAATTCTGACGGACTGTATCAAAGTTTAGGAAAAGAAAAAAAGAAAAAAGATGTTGCCTTGTGTTCCCGTCCTCGACAAAAGGTGAAATTAGGTACTTTCACGTACGTTGTAGTCGCGAAGCGACGGCAAGAAATGTACAAAAAAGCGTGATGCACGTACAATGTTGTTGTTTTGCTAATCTAAGCCTAATGCTTTTTTGCCGTTCTCGTAGCCGTCGCAGTCGTCGTTGCTTAAGCTCCCTAATAACTGACGGGCGCGTCTCCAGTAACGATCCCAGAAGCAATTGCGGGACGCATTTCGGTTCCATTGTTTCTACATTGGTGGATTTCTACTTTCACGCCGCTCTACAAACTAGAAAGAAATGCTGATCTGCTGGTAGGGTAGCCCCTTTACGTGGGCTGTTATATGCTTGAGTTTAAAATATGAGTAGACTCCCCGCCGACTATAGGACCTTGTGGAAACGCAAGTTCAACACATTTTTTTACTAAGCACTGAACTGCACTTAAGAAGTTGTAGCAACTAGCCTTACTTAGGGGTTAGGGGAGGGGAGAGAAAGAGAATGTCTCTGTCCCCCCTATTGCCCTTCTCCCCCCCCCCCCCCCCCCCCCCCCACCGCGCAAAAGGCCTTTGGGAAACGCAAGTTTAAACCATTTTTTTACTAAGCACTGAACGGACCTTAAAAAGTTGTAGCAACTCGCCTTACTTAGGGGTTAGGGGAGGGGAGAAAAAAAGAATGCCTCTGTACCCCCTTTTGCCCTTCCCCCCCCCCCCCCCCTCACTCAGAAACGTTTGACACTCAGACTAGCTAGCAACTAATAGTAAGCCGATTTGACTTCCACCTGGCAGTGAAATTCAAGGATTGGTCGGGGATTACTTGTCTTTGCATGAAGTCGCCCACACCATTCCAGGCTGCAGATACAGCCCAGCTGGTCCCGACTTTTACACTCATGGTGTGGCATTTTCCGTCCCAAAAGGTTCTCCCTGGCTTGAGGACGTCAACCGAGTTGTCACTGGGATGAAAACTAACGGAAGTTTTCAGAGGATTGAAAAAGTGTATTTTGATAAGAAAAAATGCTCTAGCTCTGCCGCCAAAAACCTGAGTATCCTCAACTTATCTGGACTTTTCCTGACGGTAGCTGTAGCTGTAGCGGTTTGCTTTTCAGCATTGTTTGTGGAAGTGATCATCATTTTCATTTTGGCACGAAATGGTCAGTACCTAGGACATGTTGGAAAAGTATGCGTGCGTTTTTTATTTAACCTGAGAAAAGGCGAAGAACACCTGATAACTTTGAGTAATTCTACAATAATGCAAAAACGGAGCTGTGTCAGGGTGGAGTGTATAGAACCTGTGAATGAATATCAACACAATTCGATTAATGCACCAATTGACTTGGAACAGCTACAGTCGAGGATGCCGGGCAGACAGAGGGATGGTGTTTCTAGCGATGAAAGAACCTCGAATGCCCACTTCAAAGCTTTGAATCTAACAAGCGGTTTCCATAATGCGAGTTTGACTCCAGAAGACGCATCATTTTAACTCAATCAGTTAGATAGCCTATTTTCTTAGCCGCTACATGTCGCGCGAGCTTTCGATTCATTTCGAATAGTTATGACCGATTAATTCATTCATTACGAACTGGTGTTTCAGCAAAACAAGGTAATGAAAAAGTCTGTCACAAAAAATTGAATTGCTGAAAAGTGAGTGATTTTCTAATTTGGACCACGTGCAAGTCAATATAATTTTGTTCGTCGTTTGTCCATTTAAGTCCTTTTTGCAATGTGTAAACATCCATTAGGACGTTTCATGTCATCATGCCCCTTTATTCGCCCAGTGTAACGAAATCCAAGAGAGGCTTGGATTCGGAATTCCACGGTCTGAATTCTGGGTTCCAGGCAGTGCATTCTGGATTTTACGTACTGAATTCAGGATTTCTTGTCCGTGGAACTTGGATTCCGGATTCCAATCGTCAGCGGGATTCAAGACGCTTTGAGCTGGATTCCTGACCCCAAAGCCCAGGATTCCAGGTTACCCAAGGATTCCGGAATCAGAATTGTCTCAAGTGGGGCGAGCGTAATACTCTCCTGCTTTTTCTGCATTATGGTCAGTTGACATGTCACGTGTCACATGTCACGTGTTCAATAAAGGATGCCAAAGTATGTTTTGCAGTATTTTAAACTACACATCTGGCAATGGCAGATTTTCTCCGCTCTCCGCATTAACACCTGCTTTCAAAACGTAGTCTGAGTTTAAGAGGTGCACGCTGGCTAATTAAAAGCTTTTCATAGTTATTCAAAGACAATTATAAAAGATTTTAACTTTTCAATTTTATCACAGTACTGCTTTAATGAGTGTTAAAAATGCAATCACATCTTCAGTAAGCTTTAGAAATCCACTGGTCTGATCTTCATCTCAGCTCTTTTAGCCGAGTATTTTCGACCCTTCCATGCGCGCCAGTTAATACCATCATGGTCAGATGAGTGCTGTCCGTGATAGTACACACCATTAAGACTGGCGGTCACACAGTTGTTAAACCACCACCCCCCTTTAAAGGACGCAGCACAGTTGCCTGAGGTTTGATCATTATCGCGATCTTTACTTGAAAACGCAGATCCAGCGTGATAACCCAAAGAATCTCCAGCAGTCCCTAGAAAAGAAAGAAAGAAAAAATGTATGCATGCAGTAGCCCTAAAAAGGACATCACCCCGCCCTCAGCACAGCCCCTGCAATATTGGTGCACATATTGGAATATTGATCATATGTGCAGATTTCCTAGCCGAGTAAGGCGAAGTGCTACCCTAGGTGACAGAGGTTTTTTCTCGAGTGCGATGTTTGCGGCAAGATGTTGTGGGGTCGGCCGCGTGTCACTATAAAGACTTGACCGAAATGATAGCCTGCAAAAACATCCGTTTCTCCTCGCTCTTCGCCGCTGAGGACGCTTCGCGCAGAGGAACGTCTGCGACTCAGCGATGGAAATTCCGTACTGATGACGTAAAATCTGTCCAGAATCCGGTCAGAAGCGCTGATTGGTCGACAGAGTAGTTACATTGTTTAAGCTATTGTTTACAAATGACAGACAAAAGAAAAAAGGCCACAAAGGTCAAATGTAAAGCGCGATGAATCTCTAACAAAACAGTCAATATTTTTGGAATATAGTCTTCTCTAGAATAAAGGATTAAATTAACTGCAAAAACCGTGGACGAAGATCCTGCTAGTTGTAAACGTTGGATCTCTAGAAAAGAGATCAAATCAGCCAAAATATAAAGAAACAAGAACGAGAAGTCCGAAGACTACAGCAAAGCTGATTTAAAACAACGTGTATTGTGTTTTATAACAATATTTCGGCTGGCCATACCAGCCTTCTTCAGGTTTACAGATGTTACTGAACTTATGTAGCAATCACAATATTATATAGATGGAGTAAAACACAATACACGTTGTTTTAAATCAGCTTTGCTGTAGTCTTCGGACTTCTCGTTCTTGTTTCTTCTCTAGAAGAAGCATTTGAGTTTTGCTGGAGCTTGTTGGCAGATAAGCAAAACACTTTACCAAAATCGACCAGAACACACGTAAAATTAGACAGATTTATATTTGGAACCCCATGACTACCGGATTTATTATGTAAACATTGATTTTCACGGTCATCAGTATGGAATTTCTGTGGGAATTTCTATAGGACAGTGCTTGTGTATTTTTTTTAAATTTCCTAACGTACTGCTCCTGATAACGGCTTTTAGGATGTCTTTTGTTTGCCGAAGTTCACTTGTTTTTATCACTATCACTCACCGTAATAATTTCCAAGGCTCATTTTGTACAAAGCTCTCTCACTTGCCACGGCAAAGAAATCATATTCAGCATAAGCAGTATTTCCTTTCGTGTCTTCGAGCTCCACTCGAAGTCGGCTTTTTGTTTTTGTCAAGCGATTCATCTTATCGAGTCCGAGCCAAAACTCGCCATTCAAGCTACCAAATCCGCGCTTGTAGTCACTCCATCCTCGCTGAAAATCGACTGAACCGTCCAATCTTTTTTGGATGACGGTCCAACCTCCACCAGCGGCTTTTTGATCACAGAAAACATCAAAGGCGCCTGAACCATCAGGGTCAATTGCGTAAACTCCACTGGTTCTTTGGCCAGATTTGTACAGTTCAGCGCAGTTCTTCTTTACTGTAATAAAGAATCGCAAAACAATCACTTCTCCATTAAAGCGCTTATGAACCAAGAAGACCCAGAGGAGCACCCAACTGGTCAACCTCGTTCCCAGGATCCTCTCCTACTCGTCTCCGAGGGACGAGTAGGAATGGAACCTGGGAACGAGGTTGCCAACTGGCAACGACCCAACGACCGCATGTTTCTAAATACGTCAGGAGCGTCAGGAGTGTCAGGAGTGTCTCATATGGTTGCCCTGAGTTGCCCTAAAAACTATTTGCTTTTTCAATGATATAGTGGACGTTCGGTCAACTCGAAAGTTTTAGGTGGCTTTTTCGTCACACTCAAAAGTTTCCACATTAAAAAACTGTTGGTCCGTTTGAAAGTTCGAGGACTTGAGTAGCTGTACATTTATTAGAAAAGTTACCTCCAAATTTTTAAGCCTTTCTCGAACTTTAGAAATTTCTAGGCAATACTTGCTTCTTAGAACCGTTACTTTAGAGAAAAAACGTCGTTGGATGCCCCTGATGATCGTCATAGCGATACAACAAAGCACGTGTTTTACTCCAGGCTTCACCTTAGGCAGGTCATAGAAAGAAGAGAGGCTCTGGGAACGATGATGAGTTTTTGAGGACTAGGAGGTTCGTGCGCGTTTGTGCGCAGGAGTCTGAGCTTGAGATTCCTATCGTTTTGCAGTCTCAGTGAAGTTCACAAGGTCTCATCAGTCAATCTGCCTTTGTAAGGTAATCCAGATTCCGGAACTGGTCACTCGAGAACTAAATAGAAAACTCGATACAGTCCATATCGGGTATTTAGACTGTCTGCGATGCCGGCTAAGAAATTTTTGCTTGCCAAACTCCAGAATCCCGAGCTTTTGAATCCGAAATTCAGTGCTAGGAATCCGGGATCCCGCTAACGATTGGAATCCAGAATCCGAGTTTTACTGAAAAGGAATCCGGAATCCAGCACCTGGAATCCGGAATCCACAACGTGGAGTCCAGAGTTCAAGACTGTCTTGGATTACCTTACGTGGGGCGAAGTTAAAGTTTAGTGACAAAGCTTTTGGATCATTTTACGTTTCTGTGAAACTGCCCACCTACCACTCCCCTAAGCCAGCATTTTGCCCTAAGTAATTAAGAACTAAGTGTTAATGTTGGTTTAGGGGAGGGGTAGGTGGGCATTTTCACAGAAACGTAAAGTGATCCACGCGTTTTTTCTGAGAAGATAGGATCATGGTTATTTCGACGTTGAAAAGCGCAAGCACAGTATACACTGAGATACACTGTCTCCAAGACTATGCTCTATGAAAAATTTGAGGGAGCCCCATGCCCTGAACCTGTGAAATCCGGGATGCTCAGCGTATGATTTTTACGCAAAAACTAAGATTCCCTTTGGGTAAATCCCCAAGGACGTGGTTACTTGTCTTTCAGAAAAATGCGTTGATTCCATTGTACTTGCCTGAATTGGAGTTATTTCCAGTCAAAGAGTCGACCTTCTGCTGTATGTCCGCCAGCTGAGTCCGTATTTTAAGAAGCTGAGCTTTGATCTCCTTGTCTGGTCCTGAACAATAGTTGTTAAAGTGAACATTACCGCACCCTGTTGACGAAGATCCCCCGCTCGTTACTTGTTTTTGCTGGGACGGCGCCTTAGTTGGCTGGGGAACAGTACAAAATGCTGCTTGAAACAGCAGGATACAGGAGAATATTGCCTTGACAAAATGCATTTTCGACTAGGACGGTGAAATGCGAGTGAAACTGTTCTAATGCGTTCTTATACAATTGAACACCCAACTTAAAACAGGATTTTTTGTAAGGCGATTATTTGGCTGTTGTGACGTGCTTCGAGCAGCTTAGATGGAATTGTTTGTTTGTTTTACTCTTTAGTGCGGATATACATGAATTGGATTTCTTATAAGATTTCTATGCCCGTACCAGTGACTAAGGCCCTGCTGTCCACACTTTTGCGTTTTCAAAAGTATGCGTTTTAATTGTCATTGAAAGCGCATCGATCGATTCGCGTCCACACTACCGTTTTGATGCGTTGATGCGTAAAACGTTCGAAAACGATAGAATTGCACGTTGTGATGTAAGTTGAACTCTATGCACATCCTACGAACACACGCTCCTGCGATATTTTCGGTCGTTATTTTCATTATGATGCGTTTTCGACCGTCCATACTAATACGATTTGTATGCGTCTTTGTTTTGATTCAAGAGCGTTTTCAAATCGATGCGTTATCAGTGTGGACATAAGGTCTAAAAGCATCGAAATGTATACGTTTTCAAACGAAATCTCATTAGTGTGGACAGGGCCTAAGAGGCTCTTACATACGATTACAGCTAGAAAACCAAGAGAGGAGAGCTTTATCCTCTCTTGTAGAAAATGCATTAGCATGTGAAAGGACTGAGGCACGGATAAGTAGGTTACAAGCAACAATTATTTTTGCGCGCCAAGCAGTTTTTCCGTAGGCACACGTGTCGAAGTCTTAATGCGTGCAGCGCGGCATTGCATACGTGCTTTGTTTTGCGCAGATTTTGACCCGTATTTGCTGATTTAACCCGTTAAGTGTTAAGCCCCAATATTCACATACAAATTCTCCAAACTGATCCCCGTACATTTTCTATAAAACCAGCAGTGGTGGATCCAGACCTTCAGATAAGGGGGGAGGGGGCGGTCATCCAGTCCCTGATATAAGGGGGAGGGGGGCGATCTTAAAATTGTTTTTTCGGCCCTTCGGGCCTCAGTTTGATCCAAAAATAAGGCGGGGGGAGGGGGGGCGGGCCCCCAGGGCCCCTCCCGTGGATCCACCACTGACAAGTCATTAGAATTTGATAAAAGATCAAAGCATTTTTTTTTTGATGATCATTTAATTAATTCTCGTAGCCCTTTCACTTGCTATGATTGTTACAGATCTTTTCGCAGTTTTTTCAACTTTTGACTTGGACAAGTGAGGGAAAATCCCTTGACACCACTGAAAACAGCGCCTTAAGATTAATAAAATTGCCAAGTTTGAAAGTGATTTGTCGGAAAAAAAAAGGAAGGTATAGCTCCGCAAAGTCGCGAAATTTTACGGACGTTTGTATGGTGGTGGTGGTGGTGGTGGTGTGTATGTGTGTGTGTGGGGGGGAAACAAACTTGCCCCCCCCCCATCATACATTCACAACTTTGCGGAGCTATATCTTTGCTCGCTTAATACCGTATTTATTCGAATAAGCTCCCAACCTCGAATTAGCGCCCACCTCAAATAAGCGCCCAACCTTGAATTAGCGCCCACCTCGAATAAGCGCCCATCCTAAAGGCAGAAAAATTTAAAAGGGGGCCAGCCTCGAATAAGCGCCCACCCCCTCCTCCTCTCAATCAAACTCAAATAAGCGCTCACCCCCACCCCACCCACTTGAGTGAATAAATTCTAATAAGAGACTTCCGCGAGGACGGAGTTTTCTTCAGAGTATTTTACAGAAATCTTGATTTGTTACTTCTCCGCATTTTGATATTGTTTATTGTTTTGTTGCAAAATAAACATCGAATATACATCGAATAAGCGCCCACTCTCAAGGTCCAAAAATTTAATAAGCACCTAGGGCGGTAATCGAATAAATACGGTACGTATCACTTTCAAATTTGGCAATTACAATAATATTAAGGCGCTCATTCCAGTGGTGTCCACAGATTTTCCCTTTCTTGTCCATGCCAAGAGCTGAAAAACCGTGAAAAGGTCTATTGTCAGGCGAAAATTGATATTGATCACGCTTGGGACTTAAGGGCTTAATTGCTGAAACGAGCTCTTCTACCTGTTCTGTTCTAAGATTGTTCTACACTTTTCAAGGATATCCGTTAACTTGAGCTTATCTTTTTTTAGTTACGACACGTACTTATATTTTATACGTACATGGGTCTTTTGCGTCGGCCAGCTCTGTGTACGTGCTTCGGTACTTGCGTCATTAGGTTTGTGTACTCGTATGGGGTTGCAATTAAGCTTCTTCTTTTTTTGGCGTGGGAGGGGTACTGTCTTTTTGCAGGTGATAGACGACCCTCTGTACTTAAAAAAATCTAGCCCATTGGAGCTCGGTTTGATAGTGAGTCACAAACATGCATTCGTTCACGCTCCTAAACAGTAGAAGCGTAGAAGGTGAGGGCCTGACCCTAAGAAACAACCTACTCCTTAGGATACGATACGCTGAGAGAAGTTAAATTTCATTTGCAGATCATTTTGGGGGGAGATTGCCCCCCTCATTATCCTGCCCATACAGATAAGGCCTTACAGCCTCAATGAGTGTGGTTTCAAGTCCACCTCGTTCGCCAGGCTTTCCCCTGTAAATTGATGGGAGAGATGGGCAGAGAATTAATTCTAATCCTCAAAAGGTACGATAGCCCAAAGGAAAAAGGAACAATTCTTTAAATGAAAAAAAAAAAAAAGAAAAAAAATAGGTCTTCCCCTTCCCCTGCCCCCAAACAAAGATGGCAGATACCTCCCACAACAAGAATTAATATTTTAATATAGTAAATATAAATTGCGATCTTTTTCAAGTTACAAAATATGACAAGGTGGAATGGTAAATTCACTCATAAAGCAAAACTAGAGTCATCATAACACTGAGGTTACATTAGGGCCTGTTTAATTATATGAGGTGAGCCAGCCAGGTTTAATAGCTGGACAGGCCTGCTTTACGTACCTGGCTTGGCTCATCCCTTATTTCCTCATAAAAGTTTTACTGGGTATATATGAGAAGGCAGGCTGGTACTCTTGCTGAGATCTCTGTTACTCTCTGTGGTTCTAATATTTGGAAATGTGGATGAAATCCTTAATGCAGACCATTAAAAAAAGCTATTGAACAGAACTTTCCTGCAGTGTTGTTTATAATGCTGTACAATGTGTTTCTGCGGTAAGTCTTGAGTATGTGAATAAGGTCTGATCTTTTGATCCTCAGTTTTTTTCCCTGGATGCCCCATTTATATGGAGACTTTCTATGGCCCCCCACAGTGTTTGCATTAACAGGCTCCAGCTGTAGATAAATGCACACATTAGTCACAGAGCCTTAACAGCTAGAGCTTGTACCAGATTTAGCTTTTAAATAATATTATTTAAAAATAATATTATTATTATGGATACATGGTTACCAAAGCAAAATTTGGCTTGTTTTAGTTCAAGACTTTAGTTCCAGGGCTGTTTATAAGTTCTGCTACTAATAAATATTGCTCTGCCTCTCTAAGTAGTTACTTATTGCCTCCCTCAGGAGTATTCCATCTTCATCATCAACTGGCCACTCATTAGAGTCTTCAACATTAACATCAACATCATTCTGTATGATTGCCGGCTCAACTGGGGCATCGTCCCCCTCCTCGATGCACAAGTTGTGCAAAACGCAGCAAGCAATAACAGTTGTAGGAACCCTCAGTGTGTCCTCCTTGAGCGTTTCCATAAGGCATCGCCAACGACCTCTTAACAGCCCAAATGACTGAATGATCTTTTCCCTTACAGCGCTCAGTGCAGTGTTGAAAGTGCTCTGGCTTGAGGTCACGTTTGGCGGCTCTGTAAAGGGTTTCATTAGCCAGGGGCTCATGTCGAAATAATGATTCCCAACAAGGAGAGGCTTGACCTCCCTTCCGTTAATTACTCGAACTGGTGCATTTAAAATAACACCATTTTCAACGTCACGCTGTAACACACTGTCACGCAACATCTGTGAATGAGTCACGGACCCTGGGCATCCGGCACTGACGTGAATAAATTTACAGTTGCTGTCAGCTACCCCTAACACGAGAACACTGTAAAATATTTTCTTGCCCAAAAAATCGTACTTATTTTGCTTGGGTGCAATGATCTTTAGGTGGGTTGAATCCAGGGCTCCAACCACTTGGGGAAAAGAAGAAATATGTTCGAATTCTTCCATGACTTTTTTAGTTTCCTCCTCGGTTCTCGGAAACTTGATGTAGTTTGCCGCTTTCCTCCTCAAAATGTCGCAAAATTCATTCTTTACCACGTTGGCGGTTGATTTAGGAAGGCCATAGCCCAAGCCGCAAGCTGTATAGCAGCTTCCAGTGGCAAGTCGATTCAAAGCGACAGCAACTCGTTTCTCCAGCGAAACAGACGGCCGCATGTTCGTGTCCTGCCGGGATAATTCGGATCGAACTACATCGCAAATCTTGAAAAAAGTTTTCCTAGAGACATGGAAGTTCTGATGCCATGTTTCGTCCGGGAGGTTACCCGCAATAAGCTCCTCAAACATGAACTGATCCCTGTGCAAAACCCAAACGCGTTTTTGTGGCCCTTCTGCAACAGGCGGCTGGACTTTGGCGGCTTTACGTCTCTCTTGTTCGAAGTAAGCGAGTAACGCCATCAGTGTTCGAAGACGTCGTTTCTTGAGCGCACGAAGTCTTCTTATCAGCTTTTCTTGGCGGTTTGTAGCCCTTGAGGCTTGTAGTGCGACTACAGCATTGAGAAAGAATTGAGCCGTATTCACATTGACAACAGTTGAATCCATATTATGATTACAGTTGTCCAGTTTTGCACTCAAACGTTTTTGTACGTGAATAAAAGAACCGATCTTGTGAGTAGACAGACTGACTCTCTGACAGGCAGCGGTTGCAAACAAATTTTAAGCGAAGCGAAAGTAGCAATCAAATCTAGACGCGACGTTTTCAACTCTTCGAGTAAATCTACACCAGGTTTTCAATTGCAAATTCTTTACCTATTGTGTCTGAGCCAATCAAGTGGCAGTATTCGATAAGCCTGCTTCATTGTGTGGCGTCTTGCATTTGACTGGTATCCCGTTTCGCTTGTGTTCAAACATGGACAAAACAGAGGGCAATTCGCTATCAAGCCTCGATCATTTCAGGTACGAATGATCTTTAAGTCTCTTTTAATTCGATAACATTTTGTCCTTGTCGATTTTGCGCGAAATAAGCGGCAAATAGATCATCTGACAGCGGCAGGGGATCCAAACACAGCTTGTGTACATGTCCACATTGAAATGAACGAAAGCTGTTGTGTCTTCATTTTAAACTTGTTTTAGATGAGATTTTTTTCTTCGTCCAGGCCAGCTACGCTTGAGATCATTTCGCGGGTTTGACGAAAGAAAAAGGCTGGCTTGTCAAACGGGCTTGTAGGGATTTATTTCCCCTTCAAAATCAGAAAATGTTTTATTCAGTTCAAGTTGCGTTGATTGCACTGCATTTTCGAATCCATTTCGCATATGTAAGTCTACTTTATTTATAGTATCCGGTTTTTTCTGCAAAAAGAGGACAACTGGATCAATTCCGCTGTTTTGTTTCCCTCTATTTCTTTAATTCAAAGGATTTCAGAAGCATCTTAAAACGACAATTACCTGAAGACGTGTGAAGATGCTTTTAAAGATATAACATGACACTGAACGTGACAACAACGTGTTTGTTCACACATGAGAATTTACATGTAACAAAACTGAACTTGAATTTATTCCAGTTTCAATATTGCCCCATGTGGAGGGTCCTCGAAGCTTTTTAATATGTCGGGATTTTATACTTGAACTTATTTTCTACAAGACGTATGCATTAATTTGTAGGACAGATACTGATAGGAGGCAGAGTTTTCTGACTTGTTAACCAATGATATGAATTTTCTGATACCGTTTTGGAAAATAACAGTTCATTGGCGGTATAATACTACAACCAGATTGCATTAATATATTCAAAGTAAGTGGAATAACCTCTTTTTAAAACCCTGAAAGATTTAGGGAATTAACTGCAGTAAGGCTCTTGACGTGGGGTGGCACGCGAAACACGCGAGTTGGAAGCGCTCAGCCCACGAAACGCGAGTTTAACGAAAGGAAAAAATCTTATTTGCTCGATAAGCGCTCAATCAGCGGTTTTTCAAGGATTTAAAGGAAAAAACTAAAAAGTACTGCACATTTCTGTAATATGTCACAAAGCAGACAGTTACGGTATTTCTATATCAGCAAAAAAGCGAGGCTAATACCTCACTATTGTTTAAAGGATAAGAGACTGCTCGTAGCCTACTTAACTAAAAGTTGTACATAAAGTAAAACATCAAAGATACTCGGAAAGAAATTTTAGTTGCAGTATTATTGTAATTGTCGTGTATTTCATTTAATTAAAGTTGCATACGAAAGAGATTGAAGCAAAAAAGGGTGGTGTCCGTTGCTGAAATGAAAAACACTCCGGCACACATCCTTTTTTCCCTTTCATTACGAATTTTTTTCTTGAACAGTAGCTACGATCAGTTAAATAGATACTTTGAAATAGGGGAGAAAAAAAAAGAAAAAGTGATGATCAAGATAGCGAATGGTTCATCTTCACACCTCCTTGTAGGGCAAATAGACCCCGGTAGAGTGGACAATCTTTCATAAGTTGATGAATGAGTGAATAAATAAATAAATAAATAAATAAATACAGTCGAACCTCCCCTAACGGTCACCTCTCCACTTCCGTTAGCCTGCGTAGCAAGCGTTTCTAATCGAGTTATTGCGCGAAAGTTAGAGCGGGAGCAAAAAAAAAGGTCATTCCTCTTTTTTTTGCTCTCGTTCCAACTTTCTCGACAAACTCGCGCGGAAACGCTTGCTGCGCAGGCTACCCTTCTGTCCCCAAGCTGGCCATTGTGGAGAGGGCAAGACAAGACAAGACAAGAAGATTTATTTCACTCAGCTCCGTTTACATCTGATAGATAGAGAAAAAGAGACAAATAAACACAATTACATAAGTGAAGAATCAAAAATGTAGTCACTAGATAAGGAGCGAGAGGTTCGGCTGTAAATAAATAAAAGCGTGCAATGCTTTTATGTTGACGTTTTATGTCACTTGGATAAACAATGTTGAAGGACTACCTTAAACACACGCGCTGTATCCAAATAAACAGTGATATCATGGTGACCAGTCCTACGAGGTCTTCTGGCAAGAAGGCTACAGTGCCGAATTGAGTACCGTGCCAAAAAGAGCACAACGCATAAATTATGACAAATTATGAAATTCCTGTATCGACGTGATGACAACTTAATGACATGATGACAGTTGAAACCACCAAAACTTAACGGACCCTAGATGGGGAATCCTGAAACCTCGAGTTCGACATCGAGTCCGAGTTCGAGTTCGAGTTCGAGTTGTACTTCGAGTTGCATTTTTTTCCTTTTTTGTTTTTTGTTTGTTTTGTTATGTTTTGGCCACCAGAAAAAGAAAAAAAAAAACTTCTGAGCACCGGGAAAAACGGTTAAAGAGTGGTTCATTTCAATAAGGTATATGTCGGAATCTTATCTCGACGCATTGTGTCGCGAAGTATCGTAGAATGCTGAAGGCGGTTCTAAGTGCAAAATCGGTCATTTTCGTGGCTCGTGTTTCACTCCGAAAGTGACACAGTTTCGGATAGACTTCGATTGTTTTGTCGAAAACAACGGTATTCGAGAATGGATAAGGAGAGAAGTTATGCTGATGTCGTCTCTGGAAGTGGCAAGTTCATCGTTTTATCTTTCTTCTTTTGGCGATTTGGAAATTTTTCAACCACTACACTTGTGATATTTGACTAACCACGTGTGGTTATACACCTCACCAGGGTCTTCTGACTCCGATGAAGGATTGATGGTCAGGTGGGTGACTATGTAACCTTCTCTACACTGATTGTGCATGCCCAGGGTGAAAATAATTTCCATTAAGATCCCTCTCAGAGGCGTTTACAGAACGAAGTATATAGATTTTCTGGGAGATTTGCAAACAGAGTTTTGTGCTATTGAATTATTTGTTGTCGTGATGGGTTAATTAGATTCCTAGTTTGATTATCTGTTAAATAGCCATTAAGACATTTGCGGTAATTGATAAAAGTAGGAAACATCCGTTGCGTCATCCTTTTAGTGAAATTATCCTCATATGAACAGATCACAGCACCGCTTTTTCGAGCTTTTGCCTTTGGTGCCACAAGAGACTGGGGATGGCAGGGAGGGAAAGTTGTTTGTGAATGGTGACAGATTTATTTTAAAATTTAGCCTTTTGATGATGAGCTTTCAGGCAGTCTGGCGATTATTAAAACCCATTGTCACCCTCTTGGTCGGAATCGGTTCACCGAAAAGCCGTTCTTTTGAAACGATAATGCATTCAGAGCGTTCAGGTTCTATCTTGAAGACTTTATGCTATTAATACCTTGTAGTAGCCCTGTTTTTTTATAAGAACGTTTTGGTGCGTTTGATACTCAGACGCCAGTCTATAACCAGTGCTGGAGCAGTAAAGCTCCAGACGGGAGAAGTAAAGGTAAATTCTCTTTATTCTGCCAGAATAGACTCTGAGTAACTAAAGTAGCACTTGGCTCTCTTTTTTGTTTCAATCAAATTATTATGAACCGAGAACATATTTTACAAATAAGTAAGTATTTATATCCGACCTTGTAAGAGTAGACACGCTCGGTGGTTAATCAGGGTAAGCGCTGACTGCACAACGTTGTGTTTTAAAGGAAGTGTCCATAGTATTAAACACTTCTATAAATATGTTAAGTTTTGTTAATTAAGAGCATATTGAGGGGCATTGGGCTTAAAAGCCCCCATGCAAACAAATTACGATTAAAACGCTTTAAAACCATTGGATTGCGAGGTCATGGCTTGGTCATTAAGTTGTCATCGCGTCGATTCAGGAATTTCATAATTTGTCATAATTGATGCGTTGTGCTCTTTTTGGCACGGTACCCGATTCGGCACTTCATTATTTTATTGAGGCGTTCAGATACTGGAGAAGGACGTGAAATGGAGAGGAGGAAAAGAGGGGAGGAAAAGGAAGAGGGAGTGAGGAGCGAGGCAATCGGTGAAATCGCTCGAAGTTATATCGTCCGAAACCAGAGTCATGTCGCCCGAAATTTGTAACAAGAGTGTTTGTAGTATAATTTTTATCTCGTTCCTTACGCGATATTGAGACAAAACAAGCGGGATAATTGTATAATTAAGTCTCGTTCTTTAAGCAATGATGCTATGGTGAGACGGAACATGCGGGATGAACGTGCACCATATCCCGTTCTTTACCCGATGCCCGGCGGGGGGTGGGGGGGGGGGTACTGCCATGTATGGGCTATATAGGTATGTGCCGCTGTGAAAGGTACGGTTTTCAAGCAGTTTACTTGGGATAGGGTGTATAAATCAGAGCGTTTGGATCTAGAATAGGGTATCATTTTTCAGGAATCTGATCAGTTGGTTGAAGATTTTATGTAGACTAGAGATTGTGATATGAGGTTTTGTTTTGGCTAGACTACTGTGCTAGTGGCTTTAGTAGTTTCTTGAAAACAGCTACTCTAAGATAGAGGGGATTTGGGGAGTTTACTCTAGTATAGGGTAGCAAAATTCAGCTGAACTAGCTCTCGTATAGGTTAAGGGTTCCAGGGTCCCAGCGGCACATCCCCACTCAGAAATTCCTAAAGTACTCCCCTCCGGGACCAGATGAAGAGACGGAACAAGCGAGATGAATGTGTAACATATCTCGTTCTTTTAGCCTTGAGGAAACGAAACAAGTACGTCAAGTAAGTAGTATATCTTTTTCTTAAAGATTTGATGAAACGAAACAAGCGCGATTAAGGTGTGTGGATGTTGCTGAACAAATAAAATTTCGGGTGACTTGACTAAAAATTTCGGGTGATATACCGTAACTCTGGTTTTGTGCGACTGGACCGTAGACGGAGCGAAGTTTAACAGGTGTTCCTCACCCTCTCTCCCTACCCCCACCCCTCGCTTTTTTTTTCGCTGTCCCCACTATCTGAACGACCTGAACGGCTAGAATAAGCTTCATGCCGCGTGGAAGTTATGCGTTAAGGGCCTGTTTACTTGAAGGTAGGGGACCCCAAGTAGGTGAGGTAACCCGCTTAGGTGGGGTAACCCGCGTGTCCATATAATCTCTCATTTTAATTTGATCACGTTTACATGATAGGTGGGGTGGCCATATAAGAGATTATATGGACAGGCAGGTTACTCCACTTAAGGCTGTTACCTTACTCACCTGGGCTCCCCACCTCCATGTAAACGGGCCCTAAATCTCGTGTTCAGTTAACTGTTCCTTATAAAATAATAACCTTCAGTTTTGCTTCGAATTGTTCAATTGCAGTCAGTTTGCGTCATCAGCATTGTCTCCCTTGGGAACTGACAGCAACGGATCGAACCAGCAGCCTCTCTTTCGGTCCGAGATGCTTTCGCGTGATAGAGGCACTACGGCTCAAGGCAAAGTCACTTCCCCGACATCTCTCAGCGCCTTCTCGAGCCTATCCTCTGAAGGACGCAGCTCAGCGTCCAATGTGCCTCTTGCCAGAAGTACTGATTCTTTCATATCGGCAATGCCGATAAAGCCCGGCCGCTCTCCGAATTGGTCCGACGCTGAGACTCGGTTTCTTATCGGGTTTTGGGCCGAGCAACATCAAAATATTAGCCAACAAAGGAACGCCAAAGCTTGGGACATAGTCGCTCGGTTGCTGAACCAGAAACTTGCGCAGTGTGGATTTGAAACGTTTCGGACGGGTCAACAGTGCAAGGGACGCATGAAGAGCATAGTGTTTGACTACAGAACGACAAAGAAACGAATGATCGAGACCGGCGAGGATGACAGAAAATGCGACTACTTTGAAGAACTTGATCAAGTGCTCGGGAAAGTGCAGGGAGGAGGGTCTGAGTTGAGTGACCCGAGTACGGTTACCCAGGAGGGCGAGAAGGCGTCAGCGGGTGGCGGGGACAACGAAGACAGCAGCACAAGCGATGATATCGTCGTTGTGAATATTCCAACCAGTTCTGCGCTGAACGTTGATACCACCACTGGTCTGCAAACTGGAATTACAGGAATTGAGGTTAATCAGGCAATGGCTGAGGAGAGGGAATCACCACAGAGAAAAGAACCCCCTAGGAAAAGAAAGAAAAAGACACCGACGGATGACGATGATAACTCTACAATTCAGTTTCTCAGGAGTTATATGGAGGAAAGCGATCGTCGAGACAGGGAATTCTTGCTGCAGATGGCGCAGATGGACCGCGAGAGAGAGGAAAGAAATTACGAGCGAACAATGAAAATGATGATGGAGATGGCAAAAGTGTTCAAAAGTAGTATTGCAAGTAATCAAGATAACCCCAGGGGAAGTGGTGTCGGTACTGTTCCTCCCACCCACGGTGGGGATATGCGTTTAAGCATGAGTGATAACAATGCGGCTTCTTCGCGCGCGGGAGAAAGCTTTGGAACACATTTAAACAGAGATTCTAGAATGAAAGGCAACGAAGGAGGCTCAGCGCAAGACAAGAAAGAAAAGCCACTTCAGTTTCTTAAAGAGTACATGGAGGAAAGCGATCGGAGAGACAGGGAATTTTTACTGCAGATGACACGAATGGACCGGGAGCGAGAGGAAAGAAGCTCGGAGCAAACCATGAGACTTATGATGGAGGTGGCGAAGGTGTTCAGAGGGGGCAGCTAGAGACTGAGCTAACTTAGATTATATTGGTCAAGTACTGAAGCTATAATTATTGGTTCAATTTTGCTCGAGCTCGGTGTCCTCGGTGCTCTGTTTTTGTTGTTTTTGTTGTTGTTGTTGCTTGTGTGTGTGTATTTTTTAACACAGGAAGAAACCGTTTTAAAGCAAACGTAAGACAAAAGTGTTCATGGCAAGTTAAATTTTCGAAGTATCCGAAAAACTTGTCGGAATGTAAACAACACCATCAGTGTACGTTTAGATTTAGATTAAAATCGTTTTGGACCGCACCTCGTATGTACATGATAGTTTAATTACTAAATTGGTTTTTACATCAATTTAAGTATCCTCGAACAGTTTTACTTTTATCCGTTTGATTTTGCATGGACTACATGCTAAGATTGGAAGGGGAGAGGCTCACCCTCAGATGCAAAGATTTAAACTGAGGTATTAAAAAGGTTTACGAACACTCTGCTTAGATACTACTGCATTTCCTCCTAGCAGGGTATTTTTATTTAGGAATTTCTCCTTTTAGCAATGCATAATCAAGGATATAGTTCTCAGTCCTGCCTTCTCCTCAGGCGCTTCGTATTTCGCATAGAGGCGCGCGTAAAACGGGAGTGACAGGTGACAAAGCGCAATGGACCATGGGAAGGTGAAAGAGGAGAGGCAAAGTTCTCGCCCGTTTTCTCCTTCCCGTCTTCCTTTGCACTCAATATTTTTTTCAAGAGAGACGCCTGAGTACAAGGCAGGTTCTCAGTCCGTAAGAACTAGAAACGATCATCGAGGACGATCTGCCTTGATAGCGAAACAACTTCAGATAAACAGTATATAACACGCAGGAGAAGGAGCCGAGTATGTTACTGATTTCCTCCGTCAGGTACCAATCAAGTGCTATTTGGCAAAGTGACGTGATACCTCGCTTGTACTCTACCCCAGTTTCCTGTTGTGGCAGTTACCCCAGCTTCGAGGGTAGAGGGTAGATGCAAGACGGGCAAGATGAAAACCTCCAACGAAAACGATTCTGCTCCATTACCTCCCTCCCCCCCCCCCCCCCCCCCACCCCACCCCAACCCCCCCCAAACACCCCCCCGCCGGAGCGGGGTTTCTATTTTTTTTTTATTTTTTTTTTTTTTTTTTTTTTTCTTTTTTTTTCTCCCACTTTTTCTTGTTTTTCGGGGGCGAGGTGATAGGGGTGAAAGGAGAAAAGAGAACAGGGGGGAGGAGAGTAAGGGGAAAGGCGGGCTGACCCTCCTCCTCTGCCCGCCCCCGTGGGTCTGGTGTGCCCGTGACCCACGGCCTGGGGGAGGGGGGGGATGCGTGACCGGGCAAGAAGCAACCCCCCCCCCAAACCCATCCCTCCCCTTTTCCCCCCCCCCCCCCCCCCCCCCCACAAACACACAAACTTTGCCAAACAAGACGGACGGTGCAGTAGTGTTTTCATAATTTACTTTTCTATTTTTTTGTATATTCCATCTGCTGCTTCGTCCACAGGCTTTTCCAAGGCTTAGGGGGAGCATGGAACAAGTGGGAAACGTAAGAGAGGTATGATGGGAACAAGCGCAGAGCGCGAGCAGGGAGTAATGGGAAGAAAAAAAGAGAGCTTTTCCCTCCCTTCCCGTCACTCCTTTCGCCCTCGCCTTCCTTAGTAATTAACTCAAGTACCGTAAAGTTGCGAAAGTAGCGATAAAATGTCACAGGTGTTAGCAAATCCCGAGAGGAGCGATCCCCCCGAAAATAACGACCCTCCGAAAGTAGAGACCTTAAAACTAATTTCTCTTTTTGCGAAAAATAGAGGATATGATAGATACCTGAACAAATGCCACACCGATCCAAGTTTCAATAATAATGATTATTTGACATTTTGATTCACAACTCTTAAAGTACAGGATATACATTACCCGTTTTTCAAAAAGTATTCCTTTCACATTTTTTGCGATTTTACTTTTTGAAGTGCCCATGTACAGTACACGTTTTAGCCATCCGACAGTAACGATCTTTTGAAAGTACCGAGCAGCTGGCAGAAGGGTGCTAAATCAGAAGTAACGAGGGTCGTTACTTTAGGAACTTTACAGTATCCCCAGAAAGTGATCGTGAACGACTGGGGACTAGGCAGACACATTTGTTTTGAAAAGAATAAAATGCTTTTTTGGCAATGTATTTGTGATTTGAGTCACCAGAATGAGTTCTTAAAATTTCACAGCAGCCATGATAGTCGAAGATTTGGTTCTTTTCACACGTCCGCGTCCTAAAGAAGGTAACCTTGGTACCTGCATACTGGCAGCTCTCGAATTGCGCGCATACTTCATACGCGTCTGTTGATCCAGTAGGGATTCTCCAAGAAGGCGCGGAGAAAGTCCTGCTATCGAGTCGCACTCACCGGGATGCAAACTGGAACGCCTGGAATCAAGTTCCCCGTCGCCTTCCGCGTTTATATGGGGTGTCTGAGGTGCGGGGGTGTATTTACGGACGGGTAAACCTTGTCGGAAGGAGGGAGAGTTCTGCTCGGCGTAAAGAATCAACAGTTTTTGAACTGATGTGCGCGATGAGCCAGCTTTGTTGTTTTCACGGGTAGGTGCCAAGCTTTCGTGCGTCAAGAGCTCATTACTCATTACAAGGTAATCGGATGATCCTTTAAATAGATTGCTATAAGCACTCAATTTGTAGGTGCTTTCCTTTGTATCGGACCGCTCTCGTGAAGTATAATCTCGCCTTTTCAACCCAGATCTTCTTGCCAACAAAATTTTCTGCTGAGGCGAAATTTTATCGTCATCTTTTATCTCTTGCGATTCGCACTTCTGCTTGTCCAATGAGCCTTCATCCTTCGCAAACAGAAACGAAAAAATGTTATCTTCTGTCAGCTGAGTAAATTGAACAAAACTATCCAACGTTTGTTTTTTGTTCCGCGAAGAATCAAATAAAGGCAACGACGAGATGCTCACACGGAACTCATAAGGGTCGTTTTGAACACTCTTTAGATATTTAAGTACACTCGAAACTGAAGAACCAGCTTGTTGAACGAGAAGCTGCGCGCAAAGCTTATCGCCGCGTAGAAACGCGGCAATCAGAGGACGCATACCAGCGTTGTTAGCTTTGTTGAGTTCGCTTGATCGGGCAGTGCCTTTTAAAACTCCCACAATCATTTTGACAAGAAGAAAGTTTCCAGAGATAACGGAGAGAAGAAGCGTGTTGTTTCCACCCTTATCAGTGACATTTATTTGAAGATCAATGCATGATTGATCATTCAGCAGAAAGCGGACGATTTCAACTCTTCCTTTTAAACAAGCCCACGAAAGAAGTGATCGTCCAAAATTGTCCCTCTTGTTAATATCTGCTCCAGCAAAAACCAGCGCTTTACAAATTTTCATCCTCACTCGAGCGTCTTGAAGAAAGCAGGAGTGTATAAGCCCAGTATGGCCATTTTCGTCAACTTCATTCACGTCTATTCCGACTTTTATAAACATCTTCACTTGCGTAGTCCTTCCTTCTTTTACTGCATTTATAAGTAACATTTTTGACTTTGTACAACTAATGGTTTTAAAACCAACAGAATTTAGCCAGTCGTAACCATATCATGGCTAACTAACACTCACTAGTGAAGAATCTCTCTCAATCTCTTGTGTTCTCTTGTACTTAAAAGAATAAAACTATGTTTATTATAATCTCCTTATAATCAAGTATGACTCTTTATTACCATATATGATGTATTCCGTTCAGCTCTTTGTAATTAAACACAATAATTCTGATTGACACAAGCAATATGTATGGTATTATGTTAGTACACTTTAATTATTTCAAGTACAACAAGTAATCATGTTATGCTAATAAGCGGAGCTCCTTTCACACCTGGGGCTTATTTTTGACCAACGCATCGAGATGCAGTGTCCAGTTTTGTCGGATTGTTGTAAGCAATTCGCAAGACATAGAGAAACTTGGGCAGACGAAAATAAGCCTCCAAATTCGTGAAAATTGATAGTACGGCTTAGACGTGCTACAAATCAACTAATCACGACAGAAATGCTGTAGAGCCGAAACGGAGAGAGCTTTTTAAGAGGAGCGAGAGACGAAGTCGCGAGATCGAGGTCATTTTAAAGACTAATTAATAGATAATATATGTCGTTAATATCCGGCATATGACTTGTTCTGCAAGTGGCCACGTTTCGTGATAGAAGCGTACCTAACGACAAATATATGAATTGCACCAATTGCGTCCTTGGCTTAAAGTTCGCAACTAGGTACTAAACCGTATGTGCCAGATTGTACGAAAAATTCATCTCCGTTTTTATCGACTTTCTAATCCATGCAGTCAGAGGTAAATCAAAATTTAATTAGTGGTTTCAGTTTCACATTTTTACTGTGAAGACTGATTATGAAATATAAAGTTAAAACTCTTTTTTGTTGTAAATGACCATTTCAAAGAAAACCTTGAAATAATACTTTGATCCGCCAGGGAAATGAATTCTTAAAGTTGTTTATAGTTCATAAAGAAATACGCCAGTCGAAAAACGTGGAGACGAATAATTAAAAATTTAGTCTCCTTTCAGGATAGCTTCAAATTTATACGTTAATTAACTGACTTATACTAATAGCTCAGCTAATAACTCACCACTGAACATTGCATGTAATTATAATTAGTATTCATCCACGATCAGTTTTGTCGGTAACCTTTGGCTATATTCGTCATAACCAAATACCGCTGACCAAATTAAAATAATACTAATAAATAATAAATAATGATTTGGAGGTAGCACATCCACAAAGTGGTTCACCTTCTACTTGATTCCTAGTCGAATTGGAAATTGGAAATATTGGTTTTTGAGGAGAGGGGAAAACCGGAGTACCCGGAGAAAAACCTCTCGGAGCAAGGGAGAGAACCAACTACAAACTTCATCAGTACAATTGACGTCAGTTGTACAGGCATCGGAAGAAAAAGGGATAACCACAATTTTCCATGGTCTACACTCTTATAGACCATAGAAATGACGTCATAAAATGTTCAAAACTCAAGTGGAACCACAAGCCGCAGGCAAGTGGTTATACTGCAAAGTTTTTTTTTCACAATAACGTAACATTTATTTTTTTACGAAAAACTAAAAACAAAACAACCGGCACTGCGTGACACGTTACATCATTTCCATGGTCTATACCCTCATAGACCACAGCTCTCGACCAATCAGCGCGCGAGGATTCGCTCAGTTATTCTAAAAATCCGATTATAAGCCCCGTCGGATATATTACACCCCCCCCCCCAATTAAAAACCTTAAAAAATTATTGATGCCTGTATTTGGTTGAATTTTAAACTTAATCATAAAAAAACATTTTAAGTGAAATAAAAAAAAAACAACCGGACCTGCGTGAGACCTTACATCATTTCCCTTGGCTATACCCCCAAAAACCCCCGCCCTCCACCAAACAGCGCCCGGGGATTCCCTCAGTTATTCTAAAAATCCCATTTTAAGCCCCGTCGGATATATGCCCCCCCCCCCCCCCATTACAAATGTATTGAAATTTATTTTGATGTTTTGAGGCTTTATTGGCAACCAGTAAATGTAAAACGTATTTTGATCGGCACAGTAGCTTATTTCAGAGGGCTTTTTTCAATTCCTGCGGGTTATAGGCTCCTGATTCCTGTTACAAACTCCCTCGGATATAAACCCCTCCGTTATAAACCCTCCGTTAAGCCCCTTATGGAGATGTACAAGCCCAAAGCTTACTAGCGGCAGTTTTACTGTATAACAAAAATAGCACTCAGGACACTCAGCGGATGACAAGTTTGACAACTGCTATTTGAAGAATTCCTGACATCCCTTCAAAATCTGAAACTGCCGAGGAATCTTGGCGAGTGACGGCGGGATGACGTTCTTGCCCGCGCGGGATTCGGGATCTCTGTTACCCAGAATTCTGTTTCGCTATGTAACCAAGCCAGCAGGTAGCCATATTGGCTAATGTTGTGTATGTTTTCATGTTTTGGGGAGTTTTTAATGCTCAATTTTCTATCAGCATGGATCAATGGTCATCATTAGACCACTTACGAAGTATAAAACCTCTTACCTGATAACATAACGTTTAAGGAATGTGAAGCTTGCGATGGATGGTAAGTGTATGTTCATGTTAATGACAGCCAGCTGGTTTCCTGCTTCTTGTAGAATGGTATCCGTGGTTGCCGTTACATTGTGTACATAACAACTGCCAATGTTAACTGCCTTCTGATGTTAACTGCATTCTGATGCTACCTTAGTTTGTCTGTTAGGTGTGCTCAGACCTTGTCTGCTATCCATCCAAGGCCTATGATGTATTTCCTTGTTCAGTAGCCAGCCCTCCCATCCAGAAATTGAGTTTATTCCTGCTTTAATGCTTGTGTCCAGCCTTCTTCATTACTATAATCCTGCATATAAAGTTTATTTAGTGTTCTCCCAATGCTGAATGTAACAACAGCTTTATATAAAAGTCATAGAGCTATAATGTTTGCTAACCATTATCTCTTTATTCCGATAGATTCCTATGGAAAGTGGGATAAATCAAGAGGAAAACCAGGAAGACATAAAGAGGAGGTACCATGTAATACAGCTAAATCTCTCTTAACCCTTTAATCCCCAAAATCCACATTCAAATTCTCCAGACTGATCTCCATACATTTCTTTTAAGAACAGTTGAGAGAATTTGGTTTAAGATCAAAGCATTCTCCCTTTGGTAATCAATTAAGTAATTCTCATAACCTTTACTCTTGAGGATCTGCTGATGTTGTTAGGAGAAAATTGATGTTGGTCACTTTTGGGACCTAAAGGGTTAATGGGCACCTCTACAGTATAAGATGGACACCTCTGTAGAGTTGGCCTCTGCCTTTCTTTCCTCCTTTTAGTTGGCTCTAAAAAAAATGGACATCTCTTAAGGACATAGTCTCTCATAGTGCTGGTCTTGAAGGTATCCCTTCTTAGAGAAAGTTGACTTTAAATGTATGTTCAAGTCAGCTACATGGCTCTACACATGCTAAAGATAATCATTCAGTTGAATTACTTGTAATACATGAATCTGAGATCTTTTGTAAGTATTGATATTAGTGAGAACTATGATTATTATTTCTTATACTTTGCATAAACTAGGTTGCGTCTGTAAAAGATGAAGTCCATCCTGACTATGAAGAGTATCTTCTGCTACTACAACAGAGAAACAGGTAATTGAAAAATTGAAGGCTGCCCAAGGCTGTGCTCTAAGGAAAATTGAAGGGAGCCCAGTGCTCGGAACCTGTAAGATCCAGGGTGCCCGGCATATGATTTGTATGAAAAATCTGAGATTTTCTAGTCGCCCAAGAGCAAAAGTTTGGCGCAAGGGGCCAATCGGCTCTGCTAAAGCACAGCCCTGCTTCCTACAGTACATTAATTGCAAGTGAGTACAGAAATGGATTTACTGGTGTACAATCCAGAAATTCTTGGTGAAACTCCTGCCCTGACTACTAGCACAATTTAATACATCAATATTTTGGTAGTCTTGTATTCAGTTCCTTGGCTGTGCTTTTAGATATCCTGTGCTTGTTGACATGCCACAGTAAATTCTTAATAATATATTATGCTTATAATAATATTATTAGATTCATTTTATTGTCCCACTTGCTTTTGTATGTACTTTGCTATAAACAAAGAAGGTAAATGATGATGATTCTTATTATCTAGTGACTGTTCGAAAATTTGTATAGACTGGAATAGTCTGATTTTATGCTTGTAATAGAGGTTGCAGTTCAGTTTTATCCTAGAAACCATGCCAAACTGGCCTTCATACATTACCATAGTCACAAAAACAAAGGAAAGCATTTAGATGAAATTTAAATCAAGGATAATGCTGAGCCTTTACTTTGACACCTGTATACAGAATCAAATCCTTTTCTCCCCTGTCTTATTAGCAATCCAGGCTTGAATTGCACCATCGTATCCTTACATTACTTATTTATTACCTAGTGTTGTATTTCAGATGTATCTCGGTACGTGTGCGCGTACAATTTTATTTTGAGCGCGCGCATTATTTGTTTATTTATTTAATTGACGTGTACATTTAGTTCGTTTATTAACGTCTTAATTTTACTTTGCGTTATTTTCCTCACTTACTCACATGGTGGGTGGCTCCTCCTAAAATGTTCTGCAATTGGTATAGGATTTAATGGAGCCGAAACCAATTGTGGAATTGCACGCATTTTAGGCATCCTACTGATGAACAGTTGCGACACGTAGATATATGTTTTTTAGCAACTAAGATAATTTGCAGTCTGTCTACTTTGAATTATTACATTTAGGTTGCTAAAAAAGCTGAAAAAGAAAGATGAGCAGCAGATTGAGTTGGAGAAAAAAGAGCAGGGTTTTTCCATTTATGTAAATGGTGCCAATGTGGAATTGGGAAGAGCATATTCAAGAGCCAAATCTCGTAGTTCATCAAGACATACCAAAACTGCAGGAGGTTGGATGGGGGTTGTTGTTTTTCTCTTTAAAGTAAAAGGCTATTTCTGAATTGCCTCAAGCCTCTGTTGCAAAGTGAGGCTAAGTGTGAAGCCATTGATATGAAAATGAGTTTTTATTGTCGTGAAAATAAAACTGATTTACACAACAAAAGTTTTGCACTTAGTCTCGTTTTGAAAGTGAGAGTTTTTGGAAACTGGAAATGACCTGTTGCATGATTTATGCACGTTGTAGTTTGCATGATCTCCTCAAATACTCTCTTTTACAAAGAAGACTGATGTCTTGTGCTTTCAGCAAGCTACAGTTCAGTGAAGGGGAAAAATACCTTAAGATAGTTACTCTTGACGTAATGTCAAATTTTCCATTTTTGATTTGCAAGGACATAATGAAAGTAAAATATTATTACATTGTATAAGGAGAATTTAACACTTTATCAGAAGTCGCTGTGAAATACAGTTAAGTTAATCTGGCTTTACTTGCTTCCTAAGTTCTTTTTATCAAGGAATTTGAGCAGGGAGATTATCAGCTGAAGAGGGTTCATTTTGATGATCATGCCCACGTTTCTTTCTTAGATTGCATTGCTAATACTTCTGCAGCTTTTGGTACATGTAGCATTTTATTGAAGACTTTCTGACTGGGCATCTCTTTCTTACATTTTGTAGATGCATATCGTGAAAGAAAGAAGCTGCTTCAACATGAACTGCAGGCATTAGAAAAAGAAGCAGAAGCAAGGTGTGTTGTGTTTATTGCTCAATTTTAATTTTGTTACTTAGTTACTGCTCAGTGACAATTTATAAACATTGGGTTTTCTTACGTCCATTTATACTCTTTATTTTAACATATTTTAATAATTACCACAGGAATTCCCGGATCAAAACAGCTCCTGATCAAACTCCAACCTCGCGCAAAGGCTGGAATTATGTAAGGGTTGTCTTTACTAATGTTCATTTCCTTTCAATGCTCAATTTATTTTTAATTAGTCTGTCTTATATTGAGTGAGGTATAAAAATAACCATTTTGTTTTTCTACCTACTTATCTGGCAGGTCATTTTTTTTATAGAGAGGAGAAGTGTGATGTCATGTTTCCATGGTAGCAAAATTACTGGATCTCAACAATCTTTCTTGACAGAGACGTAGAATGAATTGTTGAATGATGGAAGAAAAGTATGGGCTACCGTTTTGTTCCTGAGTGCAATCATGCGCAAAGTCATACATGTCAATTTTTTTTTGCCATATTTGCAGGACCATGGTTTGTTGAGATCCAGAAATTTTGCTATCATGGCATTGTGATGTAAACAACTTCTCCTCTCTAGTGTTTCTGGACTGAAGGCTTATCAGGGTTGATTTTATCTATTTAATTAAAATGCCACACAATGTTTTTTCTGTTTTTTGTTAGTTAAAATGTTTATTTTTTATTTTAATTTTTTCTACCTCCTCATTAATATTTGTTATTTATTGATTTTGTTGATTCTTCAAATAACACAAGTATACTAGTCTTTCTCTTCTCTTTAAAGGATTCAATACAAATAAGAACTGATGAAGGAAAGAAAGTAAAACTAAGAGCACCAGGTAATAATGTTATGATTAGAAATTTTTGATCATTAAATGTATGGTATAAACCTAAACATGAGAGGTACAAACTATTAGCTAAGGCACTAAGGTAGTCATAAGATTGATCATGCTCACCTGTTACATGAGATACATAGTGTATGTTAAGCTAAGTATGATTATAACTTTATAACTTTCCATCCCAGATGGATTAGGCACAGTCTTCAAAATAAGGGTCATCTTATTATTGTTAACGTCATGTAAGGCCAAAATTGACTCTATCTGAAACAATGCTATCAATGGTTACAACTGTTCTTAAAAGGTCTGTAGGTTTTGCAAAATAATAATAATAATAATCATTATCATCATCATTCTTATCATCATTATCATCATCATCATCATCATCATCACCATCATCATCATCATCATCATCACCATCATCATCATCATCATCAACACCTTCCAACTGCTGAGCAGGAGCAGGGGACCATAAGCACAAGTTTTGCGCAATGCTTTAAGATCTGAAGTGATCTGGCAACACAGTATGACAGCATTTCAACTCATATCATGTATCTTGTTCTAGGGAGGCTAACTGGTAAATACAGTGAAGATTTTGAATCAGTTGCTGTGGATGAAAGTGACAGTGCTTCAGACCAGGTATTAATCACTGCAAATGGAGGTTATGTATTATTTATTGAAGTGACCGTTATCACTATAGGGCACTTAGATTGCTGTTCAAACTCTCTGCAGTGATATTTTATTTGTGAGAGTTTTTCTCACTATGTTATTTTACTTGTAACTATATTTCCTCCTTTTCTAGGATGAAGGTAATCTTAGTGGCCCTGAAAATAAAGGTCTGGATTATGAAGATGATGATGATGATGATGATAATGATGATGATGATGATGATAATGAAGTGGATGAGCTTGCCTTGAGTTTTAATGATGTTGAGGTATAAAAAGCATAAAATTACAGTGTGTTCTTTGGTCCAACAGATCTATTTTGTGACCACAGCATACAATATTTTGACAGCTGTTTCTGTGCACAGTATTAAAAATGTAATTGTTTCAGTAAGAAAAGTTGTTGCAAAATTGTTCACCTCTTAAGAATTAATACACTGTCACTCTGTTATTTTGAAATTGGTATAGGGTTTTTGTTCATAGCATAAGGAATTCTTCCATTAAGATTGTAAAGTGTGTTTTGTGACATCTTTTTTTTTTCCACAGACGCTGCGAAAATCTTTAGAAGCTGATGAGTCCATAAGAGAAAGCATAGAGGCAGCTAGAAAGGTATGGGACACTGTGACAAATACAGTCATCTTTCCTGAGGCCAACAAGATATCTCTAGAAGAGCAATCAATTTAAATTACATACCTTGGCTTGGTCTTTTTATGCTGGTAATGTGTTATAGGTGTGTCTTGGGATTAAATTTGGTGAGAGTTTAGTATGCCAAATGAATGCATGTCATTATAAAGTTCTTCCCAAAAGAGCCTGGTCCCTTGGGAATCTATGGGCTTTATAGACATCCTTTTATTTACTTATCTCAGCCATTCCTGTGCAGAGAGCTTCACAGACATACTAAAAATTTAATTATGGGAAAAGAAATTTTTGCTTTATCCTGCTAATGTGTCCTTTTCAGAGATTAGATCAAGAAAATAAAGAACAAAGAAAGACTAACAACAATGACAGCTCTGATGATGATGATGATTGTGAAATTGAAGAAGAGTTAGAAGGAGCCAATGACAGTTTGAATCTTCATAATGCTGCTGCACTTGAAAGGCTTCCACAGTTGACAAGCACACCGGGTGCCAGAAGTCAGAAAGTCGACAGTCCTTTACTCAATAGTTCTGGTTTAGAAGATACCAATTTAAGGCCACCAAGTAGTTCAAGAAGTAATCACAGACCCTCTGATGTTGTAGTAAACCATGTTGAGCGTAAACACAGCCAATCCGAGAAGACCAAGAGCATGTCTGTGGCTCCTACAGTCAGGGAGGGTGAAAGAAAACATAGAAGTCAAAAGTATAGTAATGTTCCAGAAACCCATGCTGAGGATTTGGTTGTTCTTAGCTTTTCATCCTCAACAGGTCAGTCTGCTTGATGAGCCTCAATTTAAGGTTAACCCCAATTAAGTTCCAAGAGTGACCAACATCAATTTTCTCCCAACAACATCAATCCATAATAATATTGAAAGAAACGTTTATGAGAATAAATAAAATGATCACCCAAGGGGAAATGCTTTGATCTTTGAACAAATTCTTTCAACTTATTCTTTATGGAAATGTATGGAGATCAGTTTGGAGAATTTGTATGTGGATCTTGGGTTTAAAGGGTTAAAGGGTAAATAGAGGATATTGCATAATACTTCATGAGTGAGCGCAGCGAATGAGTGAAATATTTTTCAACACGAGAAGAGAAATTTTGTATCTCCAAGCAACCATGTAATGTGCTATTTATTATATTTATAAGCACCAATGAAATACCAAACCATTTCACTTTAATATCTTTTTGCTGTGAAAGGCATGATTTATTATGTAGCCATTACAACAGTGATCTTTTCACATGTGGAGATAACATGTTATTTTCATGTGTGAAGATATCATGTTTTCACGGGAAAGCTCACCTGGTATTTCATTGGTGTTTATATAATAAAGGTCCTTATTTTATGTTAGTTACTCTGTCTACAACTGACAAACATGAGACTGACAGTGTGCTCATTATTTTACCCCCTCCCCCTCCCCCTCCCCCTCCCTCCATAAGTGCTCCTTTTAAGGGTATTTAAAGGTACTTGAAGCTTCACGGAAAGGAAAGAGGTAGAAACACTTGGGAAGTACCTTGGAACCTCCCACACAGAAGACTGTGCACTAAACCACTGTGCTAATCCTTGAGTTTTTCATGGGATTTTAAGGGGTCTCTTACCAGAGTTTTGACAGTACAGTTACTGGTATTAGTAACCCTTTACTATGTCTACTTGTAGTTCTGTCATGGTGAGGCTTACTGTTAATAATAAGCTGTGTGAATTAATGCTAAGACCTGCTTGTTTGTTTTCAGTGAAAAGAAAAGAACGGACCCTCTCAGCAACACGGTATGGATTGATCATTATTGTTTCATTTTTATGATAAAAATTGACTGGTTTTATTTTGGGGGGCATTAAATGCCCAAAGTAACATCACTAATTATTAACTAATTATTATTAATCACTAATTATCACTAATCATCACTAATTATTAATTATTAATCATTGGGCATTAAATGCCCAAAGTAACATCACTTTAAAATTTTTAAAGTGATGTTACTGCCAGCAGTAGCAAGGTGTATATGATGTGGGTATCATTTGATAAGCCACTGTTAGGTTTAAATCTGTTGTTTTAAGATTGTACCTTATAGTTGCATACTTTCTTGAATCCTTCTTTTTTTAATTTGCCCTTCAGGCGAAAGAAAAATGCAGATGAGTATGATTCAGAGCTTTTGTCATCCAATCATAGAGTGACTGCAGACACACAAAGACAAAAAAGGCAAGGCTGTGAAGAAAATTTAAGTGATGTTCTTCTTGTCATATTCTTTGACTGGTGCTTCTATTACAGCAACTGCACTTACCCTGACAACAAAACACTTTTACACTCCTTAGTGTAAACAATATTTTGCAAATTAACCTCAAAACAGTTTTCGAAACTTCAATGGGATTCAAACCCAGGTCCTCTGCATTAGCACTGCAGTGCTCTGCCAACAGAGCTGCAAAGACCCATATGCTGGGAGCAGGCCAAATTGTTGAGTACATTTTAACCTGTGAAAGGAATGAAGCGTGGAATGAAGTTCTTCATTTAAATTTGTATTTCTGAGTTCCACATCATCTTTATTTCAAATCATAGTTACAGTGATTTTTTTCTATGATATCATTTTTACACAAAATAATTTTGGATTGATTCCCTTTGCGTACACGTTCAGGTTAGAAAATGAATCACAAGTTACAGAAGTGACCCTAACATCCAGTAAGTATCTATCATTTTATTGTTTTGACTTTGAGCACACAGCTCATAATAATTTTGTGCTCATAATAATGTTTTATACTTGTTATCATTTGTTATCATGCATAACCCTTAATGATACCCCAAACAGAGGAAATTATTTCTGTAAAACTCAGAAAACCATAAACAACTGAAAAATTTCAGGAATGTTGATTGTTGAGTGACCAATCAGAATAAAGTTCAGGACATGAGCAAACCTCAAAAGCACAAACTAATTACCATTGCTGTTTGCAGTTTCATTATCTCACATCTTATTAGCTGTTTCCTCGCAACACAATAACATTCCATAAATATTTCTGGTTTTCATGGTTTTGTGGGTTTCTTGTAGACATTTGAGCCTGGCTTTTCTGGTCATAGAAATGCATGTACATGTACATTAAACTGACCACACCAGAAAATTTCACTTCCTATTGAATTCTCTCACACTTAGAACTTAGAACTCATTTCTCTCACACTTACAACTTATTAAAGTGAGAGCGCTGTTTTCAAAGCTTTAATTTTATGAATCCTGGTGTGGATGATTTGAACCATTTTTCAGATGTCATTTTCTTTTTGTTGTATTTTTAGAAATGCATCTTACAGGTGGTTATTATAATAACAATGTATTTTTATCTCGCATATCACTTTTTTGTTATTTTATTTCTTAAGCTCCTGAGAAGAAAAGCAGGCCGTTATCTGCTACAAGAAAAAGCAAACCTTCGTCAGACAAAATGGATGATAATACAGAAGAGATCTTCAGAGCAATGGCTGAAGAGAATAAGTCAGTAGGTGAGAAAACAATGAAGTAGTGCACTACTTCATGTTATCATTCATGCGCAAAAAAAAGTGATCTATGCAGGATGAGAGTGGTTTCACTGCACTGGTCAACCGTGTTTTTGCCAGTGCAACTACATGGTAACAGGTTTACTGTCTTGGAGGGTTTTAACTGTACTGTACTGTTTAAGCTTCACGTATATGGCAAACAGCCTATATCAGATTCACGTTGAGAATTTCTCAAAATAGAAAATGAGCAGATAAAAACAGCTCAAA